ACACGTATGGTTTTTCTCCAGTGTGAGTTCTGTAGTGGATCTTTAGTGCAGAAGCAGAGATGTAGGTCTTTCCACACTGATCACAGGTGAGCCCCATTCTGTAGATGGACTTTGTAGATCTGCAACAAACACAACAAAGACATGTCATGAATATATATGACTACAAACGTTTCTTCAGCCCAAAATATAACCCAGGTGTTTTTTGCTACAGTGACATGTATTTGGACAAAAAAAACGCAGCTCTTTATCACATTCCTAATTTTGAAAAAGAATTGAAAAAACAAAACGGAATTAAAGTCGTGTAAACATTGATATTCGCTGTAGTGGTGTCTTTTTTCATGACTCGAGGAATAACTTTTGTAGATCACTGCGCTGCTCACCAGTGTGTGAAGCGAAATGCCTCTGGTGGAGTGTAACCCACATTAAAAATGGGTTCTGTGTAAAAATAAAACGTTTAATATATTTAATTCTCCGCGCTCCTGTTCACTATCGCGAGAACTGCCTCAGCCAATCACATTGGCCGTAGCGCGTGATACAAGCCGCTTGCGCTTCTCCCTGTCACACACGGGAGGGAGACGCAACCGGACAGCTGCACAGGAGCCCCACCATCGCTTCACATTCGTAACAACCGTTGGGCATTCATTATAAGGGGGAATTGGCCATTTTTGTGTCTGGGTAAGACACAACCCTGAATCCGATGGCGAGCTAGACCCAGAAACCTGTCAACCAACATCCTCCTGCGGTCAGGGTAGGAGGCTGTCGCAGTCCGTCCACTCCCACACTCATCCACACACACCTGTCGCAATAACCGTTGGATTATCAATGCAAGGACACTCCATAACAATGAACATTTAAGCCCACATCGTTGTGGCACCCCACTACATGGTTTTGTGTGTGTGTGTGTGATTGTCACGACCTATGACCCATGGTTGGGAACCATTCTGGACATTTTTAAAAGTACTGCTGCTGTATTGTTGTGTTGTTGAACTGTTGATCTGCAGAACTGTATATATATTTGCACTAAATGTTGTTTGTTTTTCACTGTAAATACATGGCACCCGCCGGTAACCAGTCTGTCTCTTGAGTGTAATATTACTTGCCTCACACCTCCCAGAGAGCCGTATCTAGTCTTCTGATCTAGTCCAACGAACCCATTTTTTCCTATACTGTCCTATCCCTGGCATAACGTTACTCTTATATGCTACAGGAGCATGGCGGAACTACAAGGGTCTGGCGTGTCTGTCCGACTGACAGCAACGAGGTGGAGGGAGGGGAGGGTTGAAAGCGCGAGTAAGGACGTAACGTATGAGGATCATGGGTGACAGCAACTGACAACTTTAACAACCAATCACATGGGTGATTTCGGATAAGAAGGGCCTCGTGACTGCACAAGTGATAGCGATGAGACTCCGGGGCCCTTCCAGCTGCTGGGCCCTACGCATACTGCGTAGTCTGCGTATAGGAAGCGCCGGCTCTACCACAGAGTCAGGGCAACAACCCTGCTTCAGGCCGGACTCAGAGGAGAGGACAGAGAGGAGGGCAGGGGGCAGAGAAAGGAGGTGATAGAGGGAGGGGTGAGAGGGAGACGAGGGAAAGAGGTGGAGAGTGGAGGCTCAGAGAGGAAGGACAGATAGAGGAGGAGAGAGAGGGAGAGAGAGGAGGCTCAGAGAGGAAGGACAGATAGAGGAGGAGAGAGAGGAGGAGAGAGGAGGCTCAGAGAGGAAGGACAGAGAGAGGAGGAGAGAGAGGAGGAGAGAGGAGGCTCAGAGAGGAAGGACAGAGAGAGGAGAGAGAGGAGGAGAGAGGAGGCTCAGAGAGGAAGGACAGAGAGAGGAGGAGAGAGGGGGAGAGAGGAGGCTCAGAGGGGAAGGACAGAGAGAGGAGGAGAGAGAGGGGGAGAGAGGAGGCTCAGAGAGGAAGGACAGAGGAGAGGAGGAGAGAGAGGAGGCTCAGAGGGGAAGGACAGAGAGAGGAGGAGAGAGAGGGGGAGAGAGGAGGCTCAGAGAGGAAGGACAGAGAGAGGAGGAGAGAGAGGGGGAGAGAGGAGGCTCAGAGAGGAAGGACAGAGAGAGGAGAGAGAGGGGGAGAGAGGAGGCTCAGAGAGGAAGGACAGAGAGAGGAGGAGAGAGAGGAGGGAGTGGGTCAGGACAGACCACACACGTCAGCCACGATGAGGAGATGTGACTGGACTTTCCCTGGAGCCAGAGCAGAGAACAGAGCAGAGAGCACAGAGCAGAGAGCACAGAACACAGAGCAGAGAGCACAGAGCAGAGAACACAGAGCAGAGAGCAGAACACAGAGCAGAGAACACAGAGCAGAGAACACAGAGCAGAGAGCACAGAGCAGAGAGCACAGAGCAGAGAACAGAGAACACAGAGCAGAGAACAGAGCAGAGAACACAGAGCAGAGAGCACAGAGCAGAGAGCACAGAGCAGAGAACACAGAGCAGAGAACACAGAGCAGATAACACAGAGCAGAGAACACAGAGCAGAGAACACAGAGCAGAGAACAGAGAGCACAGAGCAGAGAGCACAGAGCAGAGAGCACAGAGCAGAGAGCACAGAGCAGAGAGCACAGAGCAGAGAACACAGAGCAGAGCCTCTGGACTGAAGCAGGAGTCTGCTGTGAGAGGATAACATGGTCCTCTCGGTGTACAGATTAAAGCTGCTGTACCTAACTTTTATAAATGCATGTTGTACGTCCTGCTCTGACAGAACTCAAAGAACATGATTTCAGTTCAACACAACATTCAGTTTCACTAAATAAAAACCAGATCTAAAATCCCTCTAAAAATGTAATGTGTGCTTTTACTGAACCCAGTGAGTCACTATTGGACTCTTTGGGCTGAGAGCTGATTGGCTGAGTGAGGGTGGTCCTCTCTTTGTCACTTTTCTGTCTGAAAAAGCTGATCTACAGATGTGACAGAGGCCAAACACACATGATGTATAATAATAACTTGCTGAAGCCATTGCGATTGACTGCGGAACAGATCTAATGTGGAAATCTGCTAAAAAAAATCCTTGAAATCCTTTAAAAGGCCTTGAAACTGTTAAAATACTTGATAGATATTTGAAACTCCTGAAGTCCTTGAAATTGTTGAAACCTTTAAACTCCTGAAATCCTTGAAACTGTTGAAACATTGAAACTCCTGAAATCCTTGAAACTTTTTTAAACCTGGAAACTGTTGAAAGTGTGGAAACTCCTGAAATCCTTGAACCTCCTGATATCCTTGAAACTGGTTAAATTCTTAAACAGTTGAAATCCTTGAAACTACTGAATGTATTGAAAGTGTCCTTGAAACTGAAAAATCCCCTCACCGCTGAAACAATTTGGTTCCTGTAACTAAGGAAACCTGGTCTGTGGTCATTATCTGGTGGTGGTCTGAGTCTTCGTTTGGGTCTTGGTCTGGTGGTATAATGCAACCTATTAGGTTGCATTATACTGGTTTACATGGAAAAATCCCTATTAGGTTGCATTATACTGGTTTACATGGAAAAAACCCTATTAAGTTGCATTATACTGGTTTACATGGAAAAATCCCTATTAGGTTGCATTATACTGGTTTACATGGAAAAATCCCTATTAAGTTAATAGGGATTTTTCCATGTAAACCAGTATAATGCAACTTAATAGGGTTTTTTTCATGTAAACCAGTATAATGCAACTTAATGGGGATTTTTCCATGTAAACCAGTATTATGCAACTTAATAGGGATTTTTCCATGTAAACCAGTATAATGCAACTTAATAGGGATTTTTCCTTGTAAACCAGTATAATGCAACTTAATAGGGTTTTTTTCATGTAAACCAGTATAATGCAACTTAATGGGGATTTTTCCATGTAAACCAGTATTATGCAACTTAATAGGGATTTTTCCATGTAAACCAGTATAATGCAACTTAATAGGGTTTTTACATGTAAACCAGTATAATGGAACTTAATAGGGGTTTTTACATGTAAACCAGTATAATGGAACTTAATAGGGTTTTTTACATGTAAACCAGTATAATGCAACTTAATAAGGATTTTTACATGTAAACCACTATAATGTAACCTAATAGGGGTTTTTACATGTAAACCAGTATAAAGCAACTTAATAGGGATTTGTACATGTAAACCAGTATAATGCAACCTAATAGGGATTTTTCCATGTAAACCAGTATAATGCAACTTAATAGAGATTTTTCCATGTAAACCAGTATAATGCAACTTAATAGGGATTTTTCCATGTAAACCAGTATAATGCAACCTAATAGGGATTTTTCCATGTAAACCAGTATAATGCAACCTAATAGGGATTTTTCCATGTAAACCAGTATAATGCAACCTAATAGGTTGCATTATACCACCAGACCAAGACCCAAACGAAGACTCAGACCACCACCAGATAATGACCACAGACCAGGTTTCCTTAGTTACAGGAACCAAATTGTTTCAGCGGTGAGGGGATTTTTCAGTTTCAAGGACACTTTCAATACATTCAGTAGTTTCAAGGATTTCAACTGTTTAAGAATTTAACCAGTTTCAAGGATATCAGGAGGTTCAAGGATTTCAGGAGTTTCCACACTTTCAACAGTTTCCAGGTTTAAAAAAAGTTTCAAGGATTTCAGGAGTTTCAATGTTTCAACAGTTTCAAGGATTTCAGGAGTTTAAAGGTTTCAACAATTTCAAGGACTTCAGGAGTTTCAAATATCTATCAAGTATTTTAACAGTTTCAAGGCCTTTTAAAGGATTTCAAGGATTTTTTTTAGCAGATTTCCACATTAGATCTGTTCCGCAGTCAATCGCAATGGCTTCAGCCATTGCAAGTTTCTAGTTATTATTATTATGGTAATTATTATTATTAGGTAGGCCCCAATAGCTGCATCATGACATAAGCCATAGGTACAAGCTCACACTTCACAGAAAGGTGAGCTCAGGTACACTGTCCTGTGAAGGGGAACAATATGTCACGGATTTGTGGATAAAGTCTGCGTCCGAAAAGTGTTCCGTAAAAACTGATGAATAAAGAACAGTGCCCCAAACAAGTCAAAGTCCAAATCACACAGTGTCATGAGTCCTCTCTCTCTGAGCCTCCGCATCGTCCCTGCATTAAAACAGACCCGGAGCTGGAGGTGCCTCAGGATTTGTTCATATTCACAACAGAACTCAGACATTTTGGAAAGTTTCAGGAATTTTATGGTCCTATTTTATACATTCTGACAATATTTAGATTATTATTATTATAGTGAGCCTTTATAATCCCATTTGTGTGTTCTGATGGTTCTGTCGTGGGCTGCAGAGGTTGCTGCACACCTGGCTCGTCTCTCTAAAACCTCAGCGCTGTTGCTATGGTTACGCAAGCGGAGAACGATGCACTGAATTAAATCTGCTCCTACACGACCTCTGTTCAGTTTATCCATTCAGCACGCTGGCTGAGTGGTTGGCTCTCTATAGCTTCTCAGGAAGAAAGTTATGGGTTTGATTCCACCTCCAGACAGGGCCTTTCTGAGTGGAGTCTGCATGTTCTCCTCATGTCTGCATCGGTTTCCTCCAGGTGCTCCGGTTTCCCCCACCATTGAAACATGCTCCCCTGTCTCTAAGGGCAGGACTTCTTTGAAAAAGACATTCTGAAATCTCAGGGGGATTTTTCAGGTTAAATAAAGGTAATCAAATATGTAAAATCTTAAGAATGTTACTTTAGCAAAACGTTTTATTAAATAGAAAGGGTCTAAGGATAGAAAGGATCCAGGACACTCCACATTCAACCACATTTATGCACATATATTAACGTTTATGAACATTGGTATCTGCCCCTTATAGACCTATGGCTCTATGTGTTTGTTATCGTTGCATTTCCTGCGTTTTAATGTTTGATTCTCTGATCTGTGATGGCGAATCAAAAGCTTTATAAAGTCCAAACAAGTCAAACCGTTCAAAGACAGGTCTAACTCATTCTTTTTACACAGTACTTGCTGACTTGCTCCTTCCATACTTTGAGGGGCGTTTCAGTGGCTCTGTTTGTGTAAGTCAAGTCAGCACTGCCCTCTACTGGCCACAGCTGGAAGAAAAGATTAAGATGAAGAGATCCTTTGTTGGTCCTACAGTGAGGAAATGTCAGTGTTGCATCACCAGTTACAGTAGGAATGAGGAGCATACAGCACAAGATCAATAATAGCTCTATACTAAAATAAAAAAAAAACTAACTTTAGCATAACAAAGAAGCATAAGTATAAAATCTCTGATCTTAAGGGGCAACAGCATGGATCTATTATAATATCTGGATAGGGTATTACAGCTTGGAGCTGAAGAACCCATGTGCTCGGGGGATTCTCGCGGTACTGCAGACTGAACCAGACTAAATTCATGTGGGCTACCCAGAAATGTTCTCCATAGAACTCAATGTAAATTAAACAGCTCGACCTCAGCTGACAGAGAACCTAGAGCTTTAATAAAGGTCGGATTTTGTGGGGATTTTAGTGTCCCTTGTTTTCCTGAACTTTATTTCTTCATAAATCTTTTGGTTTTCTTAAGTGCCACAACCTCTGCTCAATCATCTCCTGCTCTAACTCCGCTCTGATCAGCAGCTCTGATTGGTCAGAGCGCGGCTGAGCCCCTCTGTGCACGTGCATGAGCGTCACACACGTATTTGGCGCATGGCATCACGGGAGCAGACGATGCCCAAAGTTGGGCGAATCCCGCTAATCTTTCGGTACCCATGTCTGTCGAGCTCAAGCCATTAGGGTTTGAATAGGACGCCATGTTAGATCACTGGGGCTTGGGCAACAGTGGCTCAGTTGGTAGAGTACTGGCCTTTGGGCCTGAAGGTTGTGGGTTTGAGCCCACCCCAAGACCTACCTCAAGACTCACACTGATGTCTTCTGTTGTTGTGTCCTTGGGCAGGATACTTGACCCCACTTTTTCTAAAGCCCAGCTTAAAAATCAAGGCATCTCAGACTAGAACAGCCCTCCTGGACTCACCTCCTCCAGCAGGAGGATCAGTGAGGGGCTGGTGCTCTGTGTACTGGGAGCAGCTCTGACTGCTAACCCTGACCCAGAAATGGATTAAGGGGAAGAAAATAGATGGATGGTATACAATGTCTAACTTTGGCATAATAAAGAAGTATAAATCTTGTATATTAGTAGTATGTTTACATCTGTACGTTAGCTGCATGGGGCTCTGGGACACATGTGGTTCTATACTGCACATTCTGACTCTTTGATGTGGATCTATACTGCACATTCTGACTCTTTGGGATCATGTTGTTACAATCATGTGTCTCTGAGTTGTCTTGGACGCCTGTATTGACTGATTGTGTGCCTCAGGAGAAGAGCACGTACCTGGGCCTTGTCAGCATCCCCATCTCCAGCATTACGGGTCGACACTTCGTGGAGCAGTGGTACCCGGTCATCCAGCCCAGCGTCCTGACCAAAGGGGCGGGCGTGGGCGGGGCCAAGATCATCAACGCATCGCTACGACTCAAGTCCCGCTTCCAGACCATGAACATCCTGCCCATGGAGCTCTACAAGGAGTTTGCTGAGTACGTGACCAACAACTACCGCACGCTGTGTGCCGTGCTGGAGCCGGTGCTGAGCGTCAAGAGCAAGGAGGAGGTGGCCTGTGCGCTGGTGCACATCCTGCAGAGCACCGGGAAGGCCAAGGTAGGACCACCACCAGCTAACACAAGGGCACACAGAGATTTGGTTTTCTGGTCGTGTTTTAAACCAGTGGTCTCAAACACGCAGCCGCAAAAAGGTATTTTGTGGCCCCCTAATGGACATCAAACTTTGATTCAATTGAATGTATTCATTTTGATGGCTCACATTAAAATTTCCATCAGAATTCTGAAAAAATCCCTAAAAAGTATTTGCCTCATGCTGCGCAAATACATTGAGTTTGAGACCCCTGTGTTACATGTTGCACAACTATCTACTGTTACTGGACCTCTATGTGCTCCACCTGGTCCCATGACCAGTTGAGAAGGGGTTTTGAGAATGATCCAAACATGTCGTCCAAATGAGTGTCCTTCAAAGAACAGGAGAGGAGCTCGGTAAGACAGAAGGAACTCGGAGTAGAGCCGCTGATCCTCTATTTGGAGGGGAGTCAGCTGAGTTGATGAGAGGGGGCATGTGTTGGGTATGCCATCCACAGGAACCCTCAGGGGAGGATTCCGGCTAATGTTATTTGTTTTTGTATGTGAGACTTGATGTATTGTGCTTGACTAAATAACTGAAGAATCATCTCTACTCCACATATAAAGTGACGTATTTCCCGACATAAAGAATGTGAACAGTTGTGTATCTTTGAGACCAGCTCTAAAGTCTGTGTCTGTGTCCTCAGGACTTCCTGTCAGACATGGCCATGTGTGAGGTGGACCGCTTCATGGACCGAGAACACCTTATCTTCAGAGAGAACACTCTGGCCACCAAAGCCATAGAAGAGTACCTCAAACTGATCGGACACAAGTACCTCAAGGACGCAATAGGTGAACCGTCTGCTAACACATACTGCTTTAGATACAGTAGATAGATAGATAGACAGACAGATAGATAGATAGATAGATAGATAGATAGATAGATAGATAGATAGATAGACAGATAGATAGATAGACAGACAGACAGACAGACAGACAGACGGACGGACGGACGGACGGACGGACGGACGGACGGACGGACGGACGGACGGACGGACGGACGGACGGACGGATAGATGGATAGATAGAAAGACAGATAGATAGACAGACAGACAGACAGACAGACAGACAGATAGATAGATAGATAGATAGATAGATAGATCCAGGACACTCTTGAAAGAGATTATTAATCTCATTGAGGTTCTCCCTGTTAAATAAAATGGAAAATAAAATAGATAGATAGATGGAGTGAGGCAGAAGTGAATGTGTTTCTTCCTCACATCTAACCAGGACAGGCTGCTTTTATTTATTGAGGTAGAAACTAGAAAGTGAGTCACGGAATTCCCAGCACCTAAGAAAGATCCGGTGGGATTAACACCTCAGTAAATATAGTCTGTGTGAGTCTCTCTGGTCTCTCTCTGGTTCCTCTTTCCATGCCCTTTCTCTGATCTCTCTCTGGTCTCTCTCTGGTTCCTCTCTCTGGTCTCTCTTTCTATGGCCTTTCTGTGGCCTCTCTTTGGTCTCACTTTGGTCTCTCTCTGGCCTCTCTCCCTGGCCTCTCTGGTCTCTCTCTGGTCTCTCTCTGGTCCCTCTCTGGTCTCTCTCTAGTCTCTCTCTGGTCTCTCTCTGGTCTCTCTCTGGCCTCTCTCTGGTCCCTCTCTCGCCTCTCTCTGGCCTCTCTCTGGTCTCTCTCTGGTTCCTCTCTCTGGTCTCTCTTTCTATGGCCTTTCTGTGGCCTCTCTTTGGTCTCACTTTGGTCTCTCTCTGGCCTCTCTCCCTGGCCTCTCTGGTCTCTCTCTGGTCTCTCTCTGGTCCCTCTCTGGTCTCTCTCTAGTCTCTCTCTGGTCTCTCTCTGGTCTCTCTCTGGCCTCTCTCTGGTCCCTCTCTCGCCTCTCTCTGGCCTCTCTCTGGTCTCTCTCTGGTCTCTCTCTGGTCTCTCTCTGGCCTCTCTCTGGTCCCTCTCTGGTCTCTCTCTGGTCCCTCTCTGGCCTCTCTCTGGCCACTCTCTGGCCTCTCTCTCTGGCCTATCTGGTCTCTCTATGGTTTCTCTCTGTGATGTTGCTTCTGTTTGATGTCTTCCCCTGTGGTGTTGCAGGAGAGTTCATCAGAGCCTTATACGAGTCTGAGGAGAACTGTGAGGTGGACCCCATGAGGATCCCGTCCTCTGTGCTCCTGGACCATCAGGCCAACCTGCGCATGTGCTGCGAGCTGGCCCTCTGCAAGATCGTCAACTCTCAGTGGTGGGTGAGCACTCTGTGTCTCTGTCTCCTCTGTAGGGCATTAACAGAAATATTGCCTAGTCATGGCTGCAGACAAAACTGTAGGTGATGGGCCCAGGGAAGCAAGAGACAAGATTGTGCTCCTGGAGAGAAGGCTGAACCAGCAAAAAATAAAACCAGACTAGAATGTTTTTTTGAGAAACTTTTTGGACTCCACTTTGAGAGCGGACACAAAGAGCCTCTCTCATCTCCAGCTGTTGAACCATTGTACAATACCTCATACACGGACAATAGAAAGCCTTCACCCTGCGCATGTCAATGCTCTCCTCTTTCTCAGACTGGAAAAGAAGAGACTCAGACTCAGAGTAGGATGAAGACATTGATTGTGATTTATTGCTACATCAAGAAGCGTGTGAGTTTAGAACGGTATTATTATTAGCTTGTTCTAAGCCATGTGTTGAGTTTCTTTGCTACTGGATTGCAGTTCAACAAGTAAGACCCATTTATTATTTTACTTTGGCACACAGATGCTGTGTGTCTTGGATATGCTGTATTTGCCACTATATATTGCGCATTTAAAAGAAAATGAAAGTTGCCTGGTTACAGTGAAGACTTTACTGTACATCATTACAGCAAACTTAAATACAAATTGTTCATCTTTCAAACGTCCATGTGTCTGCGTTATTCTTTGCTCATCTTTTGACGAGTCGACTCGACTTCGACTTCAGTGATGGAGGGGTCGACCTGAAAAAATATCTAGTTGTTAATGCGTCCTCTGTGTCTCTGTGTCCTGTATGTGTTTCTCTGTGCCCTCTATGTCTCTGTGTCTGTGTCCTTTATGTGTGTCTCTGTGTCCTTTATGTGTTTCTCTGTGCCCTCTATGTCTCTGTGTCTGTGTCCTTTATGTGTGTCTCTGTGTCCTTTATGTGTTTCTCTGTGCCCTCTATGTCTCTGTGTCTGTGTCCTTTATGTGTGTCTCTGTGTCCTCTATGTCTCTGTGTCTGTGTCTCTGTCTCCTCTATGTCTCTGTGTCTCTGTCTCCTCTATGTCTCTGTGTCTGTGTCCTTTATGTGTGTCTCTGTGTCTGTGTCCTCTATGTCTCTGTGTCTGTGTCTCTGTGTCCTGTATGTGTGTCTCTGTCTCCTCTGTGTCTCTGTCTCCTCTATGTCTCTGTGTCTGTGTCCTTTATGTGTGTCTCTGTGTCTTTGTCCTCTATGTCTCTGTGTCTGTGTCCTTTATGTGTGTCTCTGTCTCCTCTGTGTCTCTGTCTCCTCTATGTCTCTGTGTCTGTGTCCTTTATGTGTGTCTCTGTGTCTTTGTCCTCTATGTCTCTGTGTCTGTGTCCTTTATGTGTGTCTCTGTGTCCTCTATGTCTCTGTGTCTGTGTCTCTGTCTCCTCTATGTCTCTGTGTCTGTGTCCTGTATGTGTTTCTCTGTCTCCTCTATGTCTTTGTGACTAGAATTCACAGTAAGTAAATCTGAAAGAACAACAGTTGTTTTTTAGTGCAGTTTAGTCTTTAACGTTGCAACACTGTAGTGTGTGAAGAATGAGAATGAGAGGGGTCAGTGCTTTTGATTTAAAAAGAAAAGGAAGTTTGGGACCACAACAAGTCTCATATTTGATACTTGTCAGAAAGAGCCGTGTGAGTCTCTTTTTGATTACTCTCTTCTCACGTTCAAGGCGTGCAGCGTAGATAGATAGGTGACGCGACCTGGCAACGGATGAAGCGGAAGTAAATGGATGGATAGATATAGATGCTTTATTGATCCCTGGAGGAGAAATGCAGGTCCAGTAGCAGCAAACAAACACATAAATAAACAATTCTAAAAGTGACTAACAATAGTTCAAAGTTTTCCATGATCGAGATGCTCATCATAATTATAGACTTAGAGGCAGTAAAACATTTGTGCCTAAATGTAGGACTACTTTAAAATCTATGTGTGTCTCAGAGCGTGGAGCCGCTGTTTGGAATGATTTATCAGATGAATTAAAGACCTGCTCAAACCTGATCACATTTATTAAAAGACTGTTTAAAAAAGATATATTGAACACATATGTGGAAGTAAGAGAGTGATGCCTTGAGCACAGAGCAAGTAGTGGGAGAGAGGTGTAGGGTCGGAGAGTGTTTGGGCCTGTGTGTTGTCAGAGTGTGTGTGTGTGTGTGTGTGTGTGTGTGTTTTTAGTGTTGTCTGTCTTATACCATCGGTGCTAGTATTGTATAACTGTTTGTAATGTACTGTTGTATGTTTAAGAATTCTACTGCATGATATCGTTAAAACACTTTGTCTGATAAGCACTTGCTTCATTCAACTCCTATTCAAACCAGGTCCGGGTTGTTTGTCTGTTATATTGATATTTGTAAAAATATGTATTGTGCAGGTTCAAAAAAAAAATGTAAAAAAATTGTGCAGCAGCAGAGATGGTGCAGCCGGGTCCGTGCTTCCTCTGGTTGATGTTTGCAGAGTCCGCTCGGTTCAGACCATTTTCTCTGCTTTGGTTCAGGGTGAAATTCTGTATTCTTTATTAACATTGATCTGTTTGGTTGGGACCATCCTCTCTGCTCCGGTCTGGATCAGTGTAAAACATGTACACTTTACTGCAGCAGTATTTACAGGGAGAACTGTAAAACACAAAAACTGTTTCCGAGCGACTGAGGACTCAAAAGTAAACCAGAGCCTGCAGGTCATTGAAACGCCTTCTCATAAATCTGCATCATGAACAAACTGCAGTTAAAACACCATAAGTCCGTGACGATGGTGTGTGACTGTGTCCGCAGTGTGTTTCCGCGCGAGCTGAAGGAGGTGTTTGCGTCGTGGAGAGTGCGCTGTGCGGAGAGAGGCCGTGAGGACATCTCAGAGCGTCTGATCAGCGGCTCGCTCTTCCTGCGCTTCCTGTGTCCCGCCATCATGTCCCCCTCGCTCTTCAACCTGACGCAGGAGTACCCCGACGAACAGACGTCCCGCACCCTCACCCTCATCGCCAAAGTGGTGCAGAACCTCGCCAACTTCTCCAAGTAAGACGCCAATCCTCCATTAGCTCTATTTGACTGGTATTTATGACTGTGTTTTATATATTCTATTCATCTATTAGACAGCTTTGTTTGTGTACTGTTATTATGTCTTGTAGTCCTTTTAGTCTCACATTTCAAGATTTTACTTGTATTGTTATAGTTTCCCCAGTGTTTCCTCTGGAGGAGCCCTCTTCACTGCCAGCTCTTTTCATTATTGAATTGTATTTTGAGCTTGTGAATATTCCATGTTTTAGAATGAGAAGTAAATGTTTGAGTCTGAAATATCTGACAACAATCCAATATGTAGTGCATGGCAAAAGTATTAATACCGCTTGAGTTTACCAGAAGGCACAGCTACCGTGGGGGACACAGCTACCATGGGGGGGACACAGCTACCTGTGGGGACACAGCTACCATGGGGGGGACACAGCTACCGTGGGGGACACAACTACCATGGGGGGGCCACAGCTACCATGGGGGACACAGCTACCATGGGGGGGACGCAGCTACCGTGGGGGACACAGCTACCATGGGGGACACAGCTACCATGGGGGACACAGCTACCATGGGGGACACAGCTACCATGGGGGGGCCACAGCTACCGTGGGGGACACAGCTACCATGGGGGACACAGCTACCATGGGGGGACACAGCTACCATTGGGGGGACACAGCTACCATGGGGGACACAGCTACCTTGGGGGACACAACTACCATGGGGGACACAGCTACCGTGGGGGACACAGCTACCGTGGGGGACACAGCTACCATGGGGGACACAGCTACCATGGGGGGGACACAGCTACCATGGGGGGGACACAGCTACCATGGGGGACACAGCTACCGTGGGGGACGCAGCTACCATGGGGGACACAGCTACCATGGGGGACACAGCTACCATTGGGGGGACACAGCTACCGTGGGGGACACAGCTATCGTGGGGGACACAGCTACCATGGGGGGGACACAGCTACCATGTGGGGGACACAGCTACCATGGGGGGGACACAGCTACCATGTGGGGGACACAGCTACCATGGGGGGGACACAGCTACCGTGGGGGACACAGCTACCGTGGGGGACACACAGCTACCGTGGGGGACACAGCTACCATGGGGGACACAGCTACCGTGGGGGACACAGCTACCATTGGGGGGACACAGCTACCATGGGGGGGCCACAGCTACCGTGGGGGACACAGCTACCGTGGGGGACACAGCTACCGTGGGGGACACAGCTACCATGGGGGACACAGCTACCATGGGGGACACAGCTACCATGGGGGACACAGCTACCATGGGGGGGCCACAGCTACCGTGGGGGACACAGCTACCATGGGGGACACAGCTACCATGGGGGACAGAGCTACCATTGGGGGGACACAGCTACCATGGGGGACACAGCTACCTTGGGGGACACAACTACCATGGGGGACACAGCTACCGTGGGGGACACAGCTACCGTGGGGGACACAGCTACCATGGGGGACACAGCTACCGTGGGGGACACAGCTACCATGGGGGGACGCAGCTACCGTGGGGGACACAGCTACCATGGGGGACACAGCTACCTTGGGGGACACAACTACCATGGGGGACACAGCTACCGTGGGGGACACAGCTACCGTGGGGGACACAGCTACCGTGGGGACACAGCTACCATTGGGCGGACACAGCTACCATGGGGGACACAGCTACCGTGGGGGACACAGCTACCGTGGGGGACACAGCTACCATGGTGGACACAGCTACCGTGGGGGACACAGCTACCGTGGGGGACACAGCTACCGTGGGGGACACAGCTACCGTGGGGGACACAGCTACCGTGGGGGACACAGCTTCCGTGGGGGACACAGCTACCATTGGGGGGACACAGCTACCATGGGGGACACAGCTACCGTGGGGGACACAGCTACCGTGGGGGACACAGCTACCATTGGGGGGACACAGCTACCGTGGGGGACACAGCTACCATGGGGGACACAGCTACCATGGGGGACACAACTACCATGGGGGACACAGCTACCGTGGGGGACACAGCTACCATTGGGGGGACACAGCTACCATGGGGGACACAGCTACCGTGGGGGACACAGCTACCATGGGGGACACAGCTACCATGGTGGACACAGCTACCATGGGGGACACAGCTACCGTGGGGGACACAGCTACCATGGGGGACACAGCTACCATGGGGGACACAGCTACCATGGAGGGGACACAGCTACCATGGGGGACACAGCTACCGTGGGGGACACAGCTACCGTGGGGGACACAGCTACCGTGGGGGACACAGCTACCATGGGGGACACAGCTACCATGGGGGACACAGCTACCGTGGGGGACACAGCTACCATGGGGGACACAGCTACCATGGGGGACACAGCTACCATGGAGGGGACACAGCTACCATGGGGGACACAGCTACCGTGGGGGACACAGCTACCGTGGGGGACACAGCTACCATGGGGGACACAGCTACCATGGAGGACACAGCTACCATGGGGGGGACACAGCTACTGTACCATGGGGGACACAGCTACCATTCAGATGAGAGACAGACTAAACTTTTTGGCCTAAATGCAAAACGTTTTTTACTATGCTAATTCTAACACTGCTCATCACACCATCCCCAGTGTAAAATGGCATGTATCACCAGCCCTTTTTGGTTGTTGGACTGTGAAATAGACAAAAGGTGACACCCTGTGACTTATAAAGAGATGGTGGACTATAATCAATCATGGAAATACGTAGGGAGAATTGAGGCTTAGATGGTTCTTTTAATTAGACAAAAGTTTAAAGCTAAAGAAACATGTGGCTGCTTTAAACGTGTGTCTTATTAAAATAACCTTCTAACCTTCTACGTAATTGACTTTTAACATTTCATTTTGATTTGAGTCCAATTCTCGACCCCTACACCAACTTTGAGGTGTATCTAGTTCTTTGGAGAGACACTTTGATTTCCTACCATGTGTGCAGGTTCGGCATGAAAGAGGAGTACATGTGTTTCATGAATGAGTTCCTGGAGATGGAGTGGGGCGCCATGCAGCAGTTCCTCTTCGAGATCTCAAACCTGGACAGTGTGAGCAACGCGGGGGGCTTTGAGGGCTACATCGATCTGGGAAGAGAGCTGTCCATCCTTCACAGCCTGCTCTGGGAGGTCATGGCCCAGCTCAGCAAGGTACCAGAGCACCGTCTCCCTGGTCCACACTACACCTGGTCTACACCACATACAGGACAGTGACAGCAGGGTTTGAGGAAGGTTCAGAGAGTCCCAGCTCACAATCTGACACTATACAGAGGTCTAATTAGCACGTGTTTCAGAGACGTGAAGAGATATGAATCATGTCCAGTGGGGGCGTGTCTCGGCTGCAAAAGGTCCATAAAAATGTCACTCCGGGCCGGTGGGGGTGTACCTGGAAAGAGAATTACCCTATGCTTTTATGTGGCGTCTTCTTTCCTCTCAAAAACGTCTTCACAGGATGGTCCAAAAGTCGGCTCTTGGCCCAACGCTACATTCCAGATGTGTGTCAATGCTGAGAGTAGTATATTTATTTATTTTTTGATCAGTATAGTTTAGCCGCTGTGGACTTTAGAATGCACTTGTTAAATCAATGGGGCTAGTGCCGGCTAACACACGTGCAAATGCGATTTTTCACATTTTCCTGACCCCGCGCCCATTTTGAAAAAGCCCACAGAAGCCAAAAGTGATGGCACATTAGTTTAAATGGCAGAGATAGGCGTGACTACGTCCGATTATATTTACAGTCTATGATCATGTCACAGAAGACCTGGACCAGCCCTGCTACTCATTGGTTCTTTGCTTGCTGTGAAGTTGTGCAGATGCTGTGAAAAGGTGATAGAAAATAATAATCAAAGCATTCAAGTTTATGTCTGAGAGTGGGTGAAGCTCAAGAGCACTGGTATCCCCCTGCTGGACAGTCAACATTACTGCACTTACAGCCTAATACCAACTGGGTCACAGGAGAGAACTGAGCTCCAACTGGCAACACATGGAGCCTCTTTTGGCCAAGCACTATGGGGAGTTAGTCACTGATATACAGCCTATGGTCTGTCTGAGGTTTAAGTTACACACTGTACATATGTCTGGTGTATCTGGTGTATTGCCTTGTGTGATTCCTTGACACTCTTTTAACACATGCGGCTGGAATACAGATGGTTTGTGATGTGCAGGACGCGATCATCAAACTGGGTCCGCTGCCTCGCCTCCTGAACGACATCAGCATGGCTCTGCGGAACCCACACCTACAGAGGCAGCCCAGCCACCAGGCCCGGCCCAGCTTCAACCGGGGCATCTCCTCCGACATGCACCACCTCCTGATGAGAGACCTCAACAGGTCAGTCTACACCAGGGGTCTCAAACTGATGCTCAAAGGGCCGGTGTGGCTCCTGATTTAGTTCCAAATTGACTAGGAGCAATTGACGTCAGTTTCAACCTGAATATTGTTGTGTAAAAGTAGCTCTCTGAATATTGTTGTGTAAAAGTAGCTCTCTGAAGATTTGTTGTGTAAAAGTAGCTCTCCGAATATTGTTGTGTAAAAGTAGCTCTCTGAATATTGTTGTGTAAAAGTAGCTCTCTGAATATTGTCGTGTAAAAGTAGCTCTCTGAATATTGTTGTGTAAAAGGAGCTCTCTGAATATTGTCGTGTAAAAGGAGCTCTCTGGATATTTTTGTGTAAAAGTAGCTCTCTGAATATTTTTGTGTAAAAGTAGCTCTCTGAATATTGTTTTGCAAAAGTAGCTCTCTGAATATTGTTGTGCAAAAGTAGCTCTCTGAATATTGTTGTGCAAAAGTAGCTCTCTGAATATTGTTGTGTAAAAGTAGCTCTCTGAATATTGGTGTGTAAAAGTAGCTCTCTGAAGATTTGTTGTGTAAAAGTAGCTCTCTGAATATTGTTGTGTAAAAGTAGCTCTCTGAATATTGTTGTGTAAAAGTAGCTCTCTGAATATTGTTGTGTAAAAGGAGCTCTCTGAATATTGTTGTGTAAAAGGAGCTCTCTGAATATTGTTGTGTAAAAGGAGCTCTCTGGATATTGTCGTGTAAAAGTAGCTCTCTGAATATTGTTGTGTAAAAGTAGCTCTCTGAATATTGTTTTGCAAAAGTAGCTCTCTGAATATTGTTGTGCAAAAGTAGCTCTCTGAATATCGTTGTGCAAAAGTAGCTCTCTGAATATTGTTGTGTAAAAGTAGCTCTCTGAATATTGTTGTGCAAAAGTAGCTCTCTGAATATTGTTGTGCAAAAGTAGCTCTCTGAATATTGTTGTGTAAAAGTAGCTCTCTGAATATTGTTGTGCAAAAGTAGCTCTCTGAATATTGTTGTGCAAAAGTAGCTCTCTGAATATTACTTGAGTAAAAGTAGCTCTCTGAATATTGTTTTGTAAAAGTAGCTCTCTGAATATCGTTGTGTAAAAGTAGCTCTCTGAATATCGTTGTGTAAAAGTAGCTCTCTGAATATTGTTGTGTAAAAGAAGCTCTCTGAATATTGTTGTGTAAAAGTAGCTCTCTGAATATTGTTGTGTAAAAGAAGCTCTCTGAATATTGTTGTGCAAAAGTAGCTCTCTGAATATTTTTGTGCAAAAGTAGCTCTCTGAATATTGTTGTGCAAAAGTAGCTCTCTGAATATTGTTGTGCAAAAGTAGCTCTCTGAATATTTTTGTGCAAAAGTAGCTCTCTGAATATTGTTTTGTAAAAGTAGCTCTCTGAATATCGTTGTGTAAAAGTAGCTCTCTGAATATTGTTGTGTAAAAGTAGCTCTCTGAATATTGTTTTGTAAAAGTAGCTCTCTGAATATTGTTGTGTAAAAGAAGCTCTCTGAATATTGTTGTGTAAAAGTAGCTCTCTGAATATTTTTGTGCAAAAGTAGCTCTCTGAATATTGTTGTGCAAAAGTAGCTCTCTGAATATTGTTTTGTAAAAGTATCTCTCTGAATATTGTTGTGTAAAAGTAGCTCTCTGAATATCGTTGTGTAAAAGTAGCTCTCTGAATATTGTTTTGTAAAAGTAGCTCTCTGAATATCGTTGTGTAAAAGTAGCTCTCTGAATATTGTTGTGTAAAAGTAGCTCTCTGAATATTGTTTTGTAAAAGTAGCTCTCTGAATATTGTTGTGTAAAAGAAGCTCTCTGAATATTGTTGTGTAAAAGTAGCTCTCTGAATATTTTTGTGCAAAAGTAGCTCTCTGAATATTGTTGTGCAAAAGTAGCTCTCTGAATATTGTTTTGTAAAAGTATCTCTCTGAATATTGTTGTGTAAAAGTAGCTCTCTGAATATCGTTGTGTAAAAGTAGCTCTCTGAATATTGTTGTGTAAAAGAAGCTCTCTGAATATTGTTGTGTAAAAGTAGCTCTCTGAATATTTTTGTGTAAAAGAAGCTCTCTGAATATTGTTGTGTAAAAGTAGCTCTCTGAATATTGTTGTGTAAAAGAAGCTCTCTGAATATTGTTGTGCAAAAGTAGCTCTCTGAATATTGTTGTGCAAAAGTAGCTCTCTGAATATTGTTGTGTAAAAGTAGCTCTCTGAATATTGTCGTGTAAAAGGAGCTCTCTGAATATTGTTGTGTAAAAGTAGCTCTCTGAAGATTTGTTGTGTAAAAGTAGCTCTCTGACCACAGAAATGGGAGAGCCCTGGTGTAAATGTTCAAAATGGCCCTTGGTTCCATTGATCAGTCCTCACACTGTCCCTGTGTCCTGCAGCTCTGTAGACATCACTCGCTTGCCTTCCCCCACCTCCACTGGAGGAATGATGCCGTCCCGCTCACAGATGGCGTTTCAGGACCGTGACCTTCAGCGGGGGACGTCCAAAGACATGTTTTATATGTCCCGCCCTCCTCTGGCTCGCTCCAGCCCGGCCTACTGCACAAGCAGCTCGGACATCACTGAGCCCGATGCCAAGGTGAGTGTCCTCCATCTGACGCATGCTCCATCTGTGCTCTGTGGTGTCAAAGAGTATAGAAGAACCAAGAGGCCAAACTCAAAAGAACCAAAGAGTGTAGAAGTACCAAGAGGCCAAACCAAAGAGTATAGAAGAACCAAGAGGCCAAACCAAAGAGTATAGAAGAACCAAGAGGCCAAACCAAAGAGTATAGAAGAACCAAGAGGCCAAACTCAAAAGAACCAAAGAGTATAGAAGAACCAAGAGGCCAAACCAAAGAGTGTAGAAGAACCAAGAGGCCAAACCAAAGAGTATAGAAGAACCAAGAGGCCAAACCAAAGAGTATAGAAGAACCAAGAGGCCAAACTCAAAAGAACCAAAGAGTGTATAAGTACCAAGAGGCCAAACCAAAGAGTATAGAAGAACCAGGAGGTGAAACTCAATAGAACGCCCCATTGCAACAAACGCAGCCAGGACTGAGCCGAGAAACTGTCAATCATAGAATACAGGAGCCTACAGGTTCAATTCAGAAGTGGTTTAGGGAAACTGAACAGTTTACTAGTGTTTTTCTTATTTCTATGAACTAAACGAAAACAGATTGAATTATGCACAACCAAATAATGCATTTTGGTCCGAGCACAAAGCTGTCAGCACAAAGCAGGGCTTTTGGAGACGCTGCACACTGGAGCTGTAACACTGTGTTCACAAACATAGACTACACTTTAGTCTAAAGAAACTGTTCTGTTCACATACAGACTGTGGATTTATCTTAAGAGGAGCCACAGTTGTACTACAGCCCATGGCTTTAAAGTCCTATTGTTCATCTAAAACCTCTGAAAAAAATAAGTAATTGGATGAGCATTATACTTTGTGGTACGTTACACCTGTTGACGTTAATGTTAGCTAGTTCCCTTCAAACGCTGTTGATTTGTTGTACTTTGGCTGCAGTTGATGCAGAGCACTATTTTTGTTGTTTTTATTTATTTTCAGACATAATGTTATTGCTGTATAGTATAGTATAGAATAGTAGGACGAAAACACCATTTAACGCTGAGTTTTGCCTCTTGTTGTCTATACTCTGGTAGTGTGACTTGTAGTGTGATCTGTCATGTGACCTGTCATGTGACCTGGACAGTATGAATGCATGACGTCATACTGAGTAGAATCTAGTGTCATGACATCTGCTTTCTCCCACTGATCCTCATGCTCCTCATCCTTGAGGTATTTCCTGGGAAATACAATTACACGCCTGCCGGTAAAACACCCTCACCCTCACCCTCATTCCGCCCCCAACATCTAAACCTAGTCAGATATAGGGCACAGCCCTTTAGCCATGCTGTGAGTGCTCAGTATCAATCAGAGTGTCTGTGGTGGACCTCCAGGATTCCAGAATGAACAGCGTGTCTAACCTGCAGTCGGTCGACATGCTCAACTCCTCCCAGGCCTCCATCGCCGGGATGGGCAGCTTCAGCGGAGGTCTGGGCTCCGGCCTGAGCCAGCTGCGTGCCGGTGGGAGGCTGTCGGCTGGCTCTGGCTCCAGTATTTCGGGGGGCCTCCGCTTGGGCCAGCTGAGCCAGATGGGTACAACCACCGACTCACTGTCCCAGCAGCAGCAGCAGCAGGCGGCCGCCATGCGCTACCCGCTGTCCTTCCAGAACCCCCTCTTCCACCTGGCAACAGCTGACGGCCCTCAACACCAGCACAGCCGAGCCCCCCCTCTGCTCCTGACCCCAGAGCCCGACGCCTCTCACCAGTCCTACATCCCACAGTTCGCCCATGGGGGGTTCTCCCGCAGCGAGGACCTATCCACCCTCCGGACCAGAGACACACACCTCGGCCAGCCCAGCATCATCCACTCACACAGCTACAGCGACGACTACAACCGAGCCGAGTTTGCACGCAGACAGATGTCCACACATGTGCAGGTAAGCATGCATACATACACACACACACACACAAAGACAGACACACACACATACTGCAGGGAGGACAGATGTCCACACATGTGCAGGTAAGCACACACACACTTACACACGTGTGCAGGTAAGCACACACAAACAAGCACTTACACACGTGTGCAGGTAAGCACACACAAACACACACTTACACACGTGTGCAGGTAAGCACACACAAACACACGCTTACACACGTGTGCAGGTAAGCAGGCCTCTTCCCTATTGTCTCTTTATTGCATCTTTTTGGCCCATGGCTGTTCCTGTAGTGTGTAACGTGTGTGTCTCCAGGACAACCACCCGCAGATGGGCATTATGTCTCAGACCGGGACGTCCCACTCATCTCTGGCCACCACTCCCCCCTCCACAGTGCTGCCCATGAGACAGAGCTCTGTGGCTCCGCCCCCAGCTCAGCGAATGAAATCTCAGACGTCCCATCAGCTGTCAGTCAACCTGTCTGCAGCCACGCCCCCTGCTAAGACCCGCCCCCCCAGTGCCAACCTGCTGCAGTCCCCTGAGTCTGCTTACACCAGGCAGAACTCCCGCCAGCTGTCCGTCAAAGACAACACAGCGCCGGGTCTGCCCCACCAGCAGAGCTCTACACGGGAGAACCAGAGCCCACAGAGCACCACCAGCCCCAGTGGACAGCACTCCCCTCAGCAGCAGCAGCAGCAGCAGCAGCAGCAGCAGCAGCAGCAGAAACACCTGCTGAAGCCCAGCATGGCCAAACCGGTGAGGAGAGACTCTGACACCTCTGTCTCTGTCTCCTCTCTCTCCTCCCTCTCCTCTGTCTCCTCTGTCTCCTCTGTTCCTCTGTTCCTCTGTTTCTCTGTTTCTCTGTTCCTCTGTCTCCTCTGTCTCCTCTGTCTCCTCTCTTCTCTGTCTCCTCTGTCTCCTCTCTCCGCCCTCTCCTCTGTCTCCTCTCTCCTCCCTCTCCTCTGTCTCCTGTCTCCTCTGTCTCCTCTCCTCTGTCTCCTCTCTCTCCTCTGTCTCCTCTGTCTCCTCTCTCTCCTCTGTCTCCTCTGTCTCCTCTGTCTCCTCTCTCTCCTTTGTCTCCTCTGTCTCCTGTCTCCTCTGTCTCCTCTCTCCTCTCTCCTCTCCCTCCTCTGTCTCCTCTCTCTCCTCTGTCTCCTCTCTCCTCTCTCTCCTCTGTCTCCTCTCTCTCCTCTGTCTCCTCTCTCCTCTGTCTCCTCTGTCTCCTCTCTCTCCTCTGTCTCCTCTCTCCTCTGTCTCCTCTCTCCTCTGTCTCCTCTCTCTCCTTTGTCTCCTCTGTCTCCTCTCTCCTCTCTCTCCTCTCTCTCTCTCCTCTCTCTCCTCTCTCTCCTCTGTCTCCTCTCTCTCCTCTGTCTCCTCTCTCTCTTCTCTCTCCTCTGTCTCCTCTGTCTCCTCTCTCTCCTCTGTCTCCTCTCTCCTCTGTCTCCTCTCTCTCTTCTCTCTCCTCTGTCTCCTCTGTCTCCTCTCTCTCCTCTGTCTCCTCTCTCCTCTGTCTCCTCTGTTAACTCTAGGTTCATCACACTCACTATATTGAATTAGATCAAACTCATGTTCAATAACAGTAAAGATAGTGACAGTGATGGTAATGGTTGTGTTGCAGGCCTCCCAGAGCCCGCAGACCCTGGCCCCCGCGAACGAGCGCACAGTGGCCTGGGTCTCCAACATGCCGCACCTGTCCGCTGACATCGAGAGCTCCAGGATCGACCGCGAGGAGTTCAAGCTGAAGGAGTACTCCAAGAGCATGGACGAGGGTCGCATGGACAGGGTGGGTGTCCCTCTGTTGTTAACACCAGGCGTCGCAGCTGTGCCTTAGACAAACCTCCACACTACACTGCAAAAAATGATATGAGGCAATAACTGCTTGAATCAAGTGGTTTTGATCTTAATCTGAGCACATTCTGACTGTTTTATGACCAGATTTTCCAACGGGACAAAGACATTTAGTCTGATTTCAAGAATTGTTGCCTTATTTTTTCATTCCAAGGGAGACATTTTGAATAACACTATTCTCACTCACAGCTGCCCTGGGGCACACTGGCAGAAGCCATGCGACTATTCTGTGCCATGGGCGGCCACCACCACCGACCACACCCACATTACTATGCACACACACACACGCACCAGATTCATGTGAGGACAAGTTGCCTTCAAAGTTGCTGCTGCATGTTGTCAGCTATATTATATAGATGGTGTTTTATAACATTGTAATTGTAAACACGCACAAAGTTGTGTTGTATGGAGACAATTGTCCTTTTGCAGAAACAGGCTCCAGATGGCTCTATTCACCACAAACTCTAAAGGTGCTTTCACACCGGCGACGCTGGAACGCTGACGCATATTCTCTAGTTTTCAGACGCAGGGGTCTTCCGGCCACAAGTCCTGGCCTGCGGTGGCGCCCGCCAGAAGTGGCGGAAGTAGCGGACGACCTTTGATGCTAACGGAGTTAAGCTAGCAGCTTTTTGTGTAAAGTTTTTCTCCAATAATAATAATAATAATAATAATGCATCGGTTTTATATAGCGCTTTTTTGGACACTCAAAGACGCTTCACATGTGTCATTATTCATTGACTCCATACACGGTGGTGATAAACTACTAATGTAGCCACAGCTGCCCTGGGGCACACTGACAGAAGCGAGGCAACCAGTATGTGCCATCGGCCCCTCTGACCACCACCAACCATTCACACACACACCAGACTCATTCTAGGCAATGGGGGTGAAGTGTCTTGCCTAAGGACACAACAGCAGTTTGGCACTTTACAGCCGCAGCCGCCCCACTGTGGCTGGTGTTCCCAGAGGTTAAGTGTCTTGCCAAGGACACAACGACAGTAGTCAGTGGGAGTCGATGGTGAAAGTCTTGAGCGGGGCTTGAACCCACGACTTTCTGGCTCGAAGGCCAACGCTCTACCAACTGAGCTACTGCCGCCCAATGCAGTGTCTCTGTGTCCAGAGACCTTCCAGAGACTTTATATAACAGCAGTATGTGTTCACAGAGTCCCCCATTGTCAACCCTGGTTTAGTCCTGGTGTAGCTCCTGTTTTGGCTGTTTACAGTATGTTCAGTTTGCTCGCTCAGACCACTAATGTCCCCGTGACCATTTTGCGGCTCTCAGATTGGTCACTGCACGAGCGTCCCGAGGAAATGCTCAGCAAAATGTATCTCTGCGTGCGTCAATTTTCCGCTTCTGCGCCTCTGCCGCGCCTTTGCTCCGCAGTCCGTGCGTGCATTCCGAGACGCACATGCAGTTTGACGCTCGAACGCGCGTCTCCATTGACTTTGCATTGAAAGTTGACGCGACTCATGATCCGGTGTGAAAGCAGCCTAAGACTCTGCTTCACTTTCATCGCTGCAACATTGAAAGTTTGTTTGTTGGTTCTGTGACTATGTGAGACCAGAGAGAGACAAAAGAGAGACCAGAGACAGACCAGAGAGAGACCAGGGAGAGACCAGAGAGAGACTGAAGACAGACCAAAGACAGACCAGAGAGAGACCAAAGAGAGACCAGAGACAGACCAGAGAGAGACCAGAGACAGACCACAGAGAGAGACCAGAGACAGACTAGAGAGAGACCAGAGAGAGAGACCAGAGAGAGAGACCAGGGACAGACCACAGACAGACCAGAGAGATCCTAGAGAAAGACTAGAGCAAGAGACCAGAGAGAGACCCAAGAGAGACCAGAGAGAGGTGCTCCGGTCTGAAAGAGGACTGTGAATTGTCCGTTCTGGAAGTTCTTTATGAAGACATAAATCCAGATCTTAGAATAATCAATGACTCTTCTGGCCCCTGGAAAAGCCATGTTCCAGCTTCTTCCCTCTGGCAGAAGACATTGCTGGTTGCAGGACATCCGGATATGCTAACATGTAACAGCTGTAATCAGTCTGAACAAAGCATGATCTTGTATTTAATATGTTTTGTCGCTTTCATAGAGATGATTGTTCCTGTAATTTTGATCTTGTTTTATTCATGTTCTCTAAACCTGACTGGTGTGTGGCTGGTCTCAGGTGAAGGAGTACGAGGAGGAGATCCACTCTCTCAAAGAGCGTCTCATCATGTCCCATAAGAAGCTGGAGGAGTACGAGCGCCGCCTCATGAGCCAAGAGCAAACCACCAACAAGATCCTGCTGCAGTACCAGAACCGGCTGGACGACAGCGAGAGGAAGCTCCGGCAGCAAAAGGTGGAGAAAGACTCCCAGATCCAGGGCATCATCAGCAGGTGAGGAGTCTGGAGGAACAACACCTGAACACATCCCTGACCTCTGGTAGAGGACCGAGCTGATATTCTGTTTTTGCCCTCGGTCCTCCGCAATAAGATTACAATTCATGTGTGAGAATCCAGTCAGTGTCAGCACAACATGGACTGTATCGCTGCAGCTTGTTCATCACCATTGCTAAAGGAGTTTGTGTAAGCTCTCAGTCGTTCAGGGATTATTCAAAACAAATGAAGGTTGCTCACCCATCATCTGGACTTCAGTTAGCAGGTTTTCCTGAAGTTTTGTTCTAAATCTTGAAAACGTTTTTTGGATGAAGAACAAAACGTTGGAAAAACCTGCTAACTGAAGTACAGATGATGGGTGTGCAGCCTTCCTTTGTCATTGCTAAAGTATTTCAGGTTCCACTACTCTTATAGTTCAGGAAACTTGGAGGGGCGACATAGACTTAGACTAACATTTTGTAACGCAGTTTGCGATTGTACCACAGAGATGTCTTCGCCTGATTTTGTTTTCAAGGCGTAAAGGTGTGGTATTTGTCCTTCTCCCTCTGCTTTAGACTCATGGCTGTGGAGGATGAGATCAGAGGGGGACCTGTCATTGAACCAAAAAGCCGGATGTTCCCGGAGCAGGTGTGTATGTGTTTGCTGCTCGCAGGTCTGAGGCCTCTCGTCTGTCTCTGTCTGTCTCTGACTGTAAACCTCACACATGTTGATATCCAGAGGTGGGGAGCACTGTCCACTGCCATGGAGCTTCTATTACATCAGCAGTTTCAGGTCCCACACCAGTTCTCTCACTTGTGTCGTGTATTTGACAGTGAAATGATTAGTTACCTGTGTAAATGTGGTTCTTTGAGATGGTGCTTTTCCACTTACGAACGATCACATTGGTTAAACAAAAGATCAGAGATCCAAAGCTTCGATCATCAACGAGCCACATGCCACCAGCTTCTGGTGGGGCTCTTCAGCCTGAAGCCTCTGGATCTTCAGGCGAGAGAGCGGTATACAGGACGGCTGTATACAGCTTGTTTGTGATTGGAGGATTAGATCTCTGACCTCTGATGCGAGGAGTCAAACCAATGGAAAAGCCTGTCAGGGGCAAGGCCCATGAAAGACTACAGTACTTTTACAGTTGTTTATTGAACAGTGTAACAGTACTTTTACTTGAGTAGTATATTTAAGTGTAAGTCAGTCTAAGTGACCTCGGAGCATTTACACTTCATCCTCTGCTCGTTCAGATATTATAGATTTTTACACAACTTTATTCTGTTCCAACTTCCAGCTACAACAGTTCTCTACCATCTCTGCCCATACCCCTTATGCCCTGTCTTGTTTCTTGTGTTTGGAACTTGACTGCCTCTGCCCTGCTATGGCAGTTTTCTGTTTGCATCTGGCCCTTGCGTGGTGTGAGTGGGGGCCTGGGGGCCTGGGGGCATTGTGGCGTTCCCGCTTCAGCATGAGGGACAGGGATGAGCTGAGTCTGCTGCTGCTGTGTCTGGTGCTGTGTGTCCTGGAGCCTCCTGAAACAGTTCATTCCATGCTCACACTTCTGTGGCCTGCGCCTGCTGTAGCATGAGTCTGCTGTACCTTTGAGTCTGCTGTACCTTTGAGTCTCCTGTACCTTTGAGTCTCCTGTACCTTTGAGTCTCCTGTACCGTTGACCTTTGACCACTGGCTTTGTTCGCAGACACATGACCGTTGTGCTATTCCAGACTATAGACTTTTTTTCAAACTTTTCTCTCACACTCTCACGTCAGCTTCTTCCAGTGCGGTGGTCTGAGAAGGTCAGAACCCGTTCAGGTCATTCGTTATGAAGAGTTAAAGTTACAACTGTGTTTCCAAAAGTGGGGGCTGCGGACACTAGTTTGGGGTCGCGAGATGTTTTCCAGAATTACCACTTTGTACATATATGTATATGTATATATGTAATGTGTGCATTTTTTGACAATCAGAGAAACTGGATCAAAGAGCACAAGAATTTACTTAAAAATCATGGAAATAAAAAACAAAAACAACACTTCACATGATTATTACTTTGGTCCTGACCTGAAACTTTTTGGAACCACTGTTTTAGACCTTGGCATATGCTGTAAATATTTACCTAAACTAAAACTCATTTAATAAAATCTGCACAAACAACAAACACATGAAATGATATGACATTGTTGATGTGAAGAGTGATACATTATTTATGACTTAGACCCGACAAAGAGATAAGTCCAAGGAGGGTCTCGACACTGGTGTTTTGAAACCAGAAGGAAAGATCTTTCTGAGGGGAGAATGGTAAAGGCTGTTTGTTCTACAAAGTGAGTGAAGAATGATCTGAACGGACAGAGACTCCTGAGACGCCGCAGACTGAGGGCGAGTGTGGAGAGAGACTTCTGTGTCTGTAGACAATAGTTTAAAGTCCACATTCTGCAGTTTCCTGTGCGAGCGCTGTGTGACAGGAGTAAAGCTCAGTCCAGGACATTGGTCGCTCAATGTGCATGACATAGGGCTGTCCTCTGCATGTGTGACATCTCCAGGACAGCTGCCTCTGCTGCAGGCTGCTCCTCCTCTGTGTGCTCACCATCTTCATCATCCTCATCATCTTCCTCATCTTCACCTTCTGGGATTCGACCACTGAGTATCAGAAGCAACGCTTTCCAACAGGAAATGATCAGAAATGAAATGAGGCCCCAAGCTGTTTGGGACCCACAATGCAAGGATTGCAATAGTTGTACTATACTATTCAATTAAATGTATTCTTGTATCGCCCTCAGTCACAACAATAGTTTTCTCAGAGGACTATACAAAGCTATCGATTCAACAACACAGATCAGAGAATCAGTTCAAACTCAGGAAATGCAATGATAAAAACACACAGAGCCATTGGTCCATCAGGGGCAGATGACCACTGTCCGTAAATGTGGACAGAAAAAGGAAACTGAGCTGGGAAAGGGGAACTGCCTCATAGTGAGGGGCCATGAGTATTGCAGTAGACATATGTGGCCATCGAATGTATTTTTTTTAAACGAATGCACCAATGGGAAAATTATGGCCGTTGCGGATGACCGGTTAACATTGCTGTTACGGCCGATACAGATAATTCACTGCTTTAGTGCTGCAATGTGTGTGGAGACTTTTGATGTAAAGTTGTCCTCCACAAGTGCAGCTCCGCAGCGTCTCTGAGTCTGAGATCCTCCACAGACGTCGTACAGTGTAACAGCAGTATCTGCTCTGACTCATATTATTCTTCATATTATTAACTAATACTTCTGTATCCAACACGTCAGCAGCACTTTACAGTCACAGGAGAAACTCAGGCTGGAGCCATCTGTTCACACTGCGTCCCCCACTGTCAGTCCTGGTTTTGTACTGGTTTAGTCGTGGTTTAGACCTGGTTTAGTCCTGGTTTAGTCCTGGTTTAGTCCTGGTTTGCTGCTCTCTGATTCTCTTGCGTTTGCCACATGCGTCTCGTCTGCGTACTCTGCGCCTCTGCCGCACCACAACAACGCCGGACAAACTGCGGCAGATATATGGGAAATCCAAACCATTAGACTATATTCTCTCCAGTGGTTAATCCCAGTTTCCGTAACTCACTTGTGTAACTGTGTGTGTGTTCCTCCTGTGCGTGTTCCTCCCTCTCCTGTGTATGTGTGTTCCCGCGCTCTCCTGTGTGTATATGTGTGTGTGTTCCTCCTGTGTGTGTATGTGTGTGTTCCTCCTGTGTGTGTTCCTCCCTCTCCTGTGTGTATATGTGAGTGTGTTCCCCCTGTGTGTGTGTGTTCCTTGTGTGTGTGTGTGTGTGGGTGTTCCTGCCTCTCCTGTGTGTGTGTGCTCCTCCTTCTCCTGTGGGGGTGTGTTTGTGTGTGTTCCTCCTGTGTGTGTTCCTCCCTCTCCTGTGTGTGTGTGTGTCTTCCTCCCGTGTGTGTTGTTGATGCGATGCTCTCTCTTAGGGGAGGCGTCAGTCCATCCTAGTGCAGCCCCGCGTGGCCCCGGCCCCTCCCCGAGTGCCCAGGTAACCACCACCCGACCTCCTGCCCATCCATGCACCTCCCATCTGCTCTGTGTGTGTGTGTGTCTCTGTGTGTCCCTGTGTGTGTCTCTGTGTGTGTGTGTGCTCTGGCTCTTTATGTCATGACTTTTACCTGCTTCAAAGAGCAGCTGCGTCGAGCCAAATGTCACACTCAGGGTTTTATGCCAGAGGCAAACACTGAAAATGACTTGAATTCAGGCTACTGTAACTCTGGATGTACTGGTAACACTTGAGACTATAAGAGTAACGAGAATATTTCACTGGTTTGAAGAGTTTTGTGGTACAAGTTGTAACCACAAGAGAATCAGGACCATAGACTGTAAATATTAACGGACGTAGTCACACCTATGTCCGCCGTTCAAACTTTCGCCGTCTATGGGCAGTTTCAACATGGCCATGGGGGCTGAAAAATGGGAAAAAAAACGCATTTGCGCATGTGTCAGCTGCCAATCATTTGACGAGTGCCTTCAAAATTTCACAGCGACTAAACTAGACTGGTCCAAAAAAAATCACTCCCCTCAGCATTGACACACATGTGGAAGGTAGCTTTGGGCCAAGAGCCAATTGACCATCCTGTAACGCCGTTTTCAAGAGGTAAGAAGATGCTATATGTTAGCATTGAATAATTCTTATTCCGTGTCTACCCCCGGCCTGGGGTGGTATTGCAGCATGTCAGCGCAGGTCATTTTGGACTCTTTTGAGCAGGGACCCACCCTCACTGATCAGGACACACTGCAACTGTCACTTCGCCTCCAACTCGAAACAACTCTGCACCAACTCTGAAACACAGTCTCAGTAACTTGTTGTTTTGGACCCGTGTCTCTAACTCACATACACAACAACAGGCTGCGAGATCAGCTGCAGATGACAAGTCCCAGTCCAGGTCCCAGTCCCCTAGGAAGTGGAAATCTTAGCACCCTTCTAATCCTAGCCCCGCTTTTCCCCAATGTACTCCACCCAAACAAGTACGAGTCAAGTTTGTAGAGAAACAAGTCTCACAGTATCTTTTAATATTTTTGGGCTAATAATAAGTTACACACTATGAAGATGAGTTCACTGGTTTCTAACCATGTGTGTAGTAACTCATACAAACTTCAAACCAGTAAAATAATACAGTCCACTAAATCAAACATTTGAATCCTGTCCAGAATCCCTGAATTAAAAAACCAGGACGAGATATTCTCTGTTGTGTTGGAACAGGGGTGCGTTGGATTTCTCCATGTTTATAGTGTTCCTCGTACAGCCTGACAGCAGCATGTGTCAAAATACATCATTCATCTAATTAATATTTTCTGTTTAATGTTGAGAACTTCTGCAGACAGTTGTCTTCCAGCGGTAATGTGTGTGTCCTCTGAGACGTGTGTGTGTGTGTCCTCTGAGACGTGTGTGTGTCCTCTAAGACGTGTGTGTGTGTGTGTGTGTCCTCTGAGACGTGTGTGTGTGTGTCCTCTGAGACATGTGTGTGTGTGTGTGTGTGTTCTCTGAGACGTGTGTGTGTGTGTCCTCTGAGACATGTGTGTGTGTGTCCTCTGAGACATGTGCGTGTGTGTGTGTGTCCTCTGAGACATGTGTGTGTGCGTGTGTGTGTGCGTGTGTGTGTGTGTGTCCTCTGAGACATGTGTGTGTGTGTGTATGTCCTCTGAGACATGTGTGTGCGTGTGTGTGTGTGTGTCCTCTGAGACATGTGTGTGTGTGTGTGTGTCCTCTGAGACATGTGTGTGTGTGTGTGTGTCCTCTGAGACATGTGTGTGTGTGTGTGTGTCCTCTGAGACATGTGTGTGTCTGACAGATTCTCCGTGTTCCACACGTATGTCCATCATAAACACAGTCTCAGTCACTTGTTGTTTTGGACCAGTGTCTCTAACTCACATACACCACAGCAGGCTGCGAGATCAGCTGCAGATGGTAAGTCCCAGTCCAGGTCCCAGTCCAGGTCCCCGTCGTGGTCCCAGTACAGATCCCAGTCCAGGTCCCAGTCCAGGTCCTAGTCCCCTAGGAAGTGGAAATGGAGAAACAAAATGCATACAGCTCTTAAATTATCAAAGACTGGATCTAGATACTCTGAACATTAATAAACTATAAATATTGTTAATGAACAGAATAGTAATTCTGAGAAAAATTATTTACAATTTTCATGAACAAGATGTGCTTTGATGCAGTCCTCGCACGGATGTCAAAGCTGAAGGAAAAAAAACCTTCCATCAACATTATATTGAGTGTCGAAAAGGTCTCATATCAGTTTCATTTAAAATAGCAAGTATATATCTACCCTACATACAGTAGTAGCTCCAAATCAAACCAAAAGAATCATTAAAGCAGTCGTTTGAAGAACTTGAGCATGTTGGCCAATAGCAGATTAGAAAATCAAAACACTAATTGGTTAAAAAAGTCACAGATTTTCACAGGAAAGAATCCAAAGAAGCGTCCCAGTCCTTAGACCCTCCTTCTTTGTCAAATAAACCTCCATGGTATCACCCCTTCCCCGCACACATCTGGTCTTTGTCTTTCTCCTCGTGAGAACAGACAGTGCAGACCTTTCCTGTCATGCATGCTGCTGCTGCACCCTGAGACTGGGGTCACAAGTCCTTCCCTCACAGCACAGACCCGGGAGGCTTCTGCAGGTGGGGGTCCTCTCCCAGGCCTCTGTGACTGACAGCAGAGGGGGGTAAGTTCAGACGGATGTCCGGAAACATGTGGTTGTTTCCCCTGGGCCTGGGACTTTAATAGACATGTGTGACCAAGTACGACACATGGATATTAAAGAACAACACTAGTTCACAGAGGTCATGTTTCTGGCATCCTGCAGAGGTGGCACCAGTTGTGGTTCTGATTGAGAAGAGAAAAGTGTGGCTCGTTGGTCCTCTCAAAGGGAAAGTTCAGAGAGTCTTCGCTGGATGCTTTCTCTGCCATTCTCCCTCCTCTGTCCTCTCTCTAACCTCATCCCCTCATTATTCCCCTCACTGCCCTGCCCTCACCATACCTGGCCCCTCGTGGCTCGGCCTAGCACACCATGTAACGGCAGTAATCCACAAGTTTCTTCCTGGTCACAGAGCAGTGTAGAACCTTAACTGCATGTCCTCAAGGTCGCCATTTCACTGTGCCAGAGTTCAGAGGCAGTGAAATCCCAAACACACATGGCGATGACAGCTGTGAAAATATGAAATTGAGCTTTGGCTTCGTCTCAAAGTAATTTTCGCAGAGACCATGGGACTAATAAGTGACACAACTGGACTGATTGTTTGACAATAGTTTCTCAATAAACATGTGTAAAACCTCTTCACATCCCCCACTGCTGCACCTGAGGAAGTAAAAGGTCTCATTGTCTAGCATTTAGTCTTCCTGGCTGTGGACCGCTCAATAGACCAAGAGACGATGCTAGCATAGAGGGTGCTCATGACTGCAAAAAAGACAAGTTTCCCAAAAGGCAGCAGATGTGTGCAGTGTTGAGGATGGTGCAGTGGATTTGTGTTGCTTCAACTGTCCCACCTCGGTACATGATGCTCGCCTGATGGTAAAGGATGATCAGCTAATCAGCAAACGGTCAGAGCGAGCTGCTTCCACGCTCTCTGTGGCATTTCTGTGAATGTTGTCATCAAACAAGTAACTCACCACGTCTCTTATCTCCGTTTGTCTCCCCCACTCTCCTCTCTACCTCTCCCATCATCACCCATGTTTTCATCGTCACAATTCTGTTGGACTTTCCACCTTTCCTTCTTTGATTGGCGTGCGTCCCCATGGCCTGTGTTGGTCCATGTCCCCCTCCCTCTCTCTCTATGTCACCAGGAGGCCCAGCTTCCCTCCATGGGTTCAGCAGACCCCGGTGTGAAGCGCTGTGAGGGGGGAGCACCCGGCGCAGTGAGCCAGCCTCCAAGGACATCAGCGGTCAGTGCCTGCACCCCCCATAACGGAGTCCCTGCTTCTTTGCCCATGCCATTCCAACATCACAGTCCGAATGGAGAGCTCCATGGCAACCAAACAGGCGTCCCCATTGCACGCAGGCAGGCGACTGTGGCACCAGGGAGCATAGAGAAGTGTCCACTGCCGCGCTGAGCCAGTCAGAGAGAGACTGTCCGGGCTTCAATCTAAGGGCTCACACTACTGTGGTTCCAGAGCGTCTTGCAGGACGAGACGCTGCCCACTGCTGCATGGCCTCTGATGATGCAGCTTTGTCAATAGATGCAGAAACAGCCTTCAGGTGCGATGGAACGGCCAAACAATCATATGCAACGCAGCTAGGGAAGACACGGCGTTTATGACAACAGTAGATCTGACGTAACGTAACACTGTCACTGTTCTGTTCCATCGACCTTTTGTCTGAACGGCAAAAAAATATTTATATGAATTGTGTCCAGAAAATAGTTTCATATCGAACACGGAAACCAAACTCTCCTCTCCAGGTCTGAGCCAAATGTGACGACAGTACACAACTGGATAGGTCTATTTTTACTGATCATTTAAAAGCGGAGTAGTCTGTGGGTAGCTTCAATACCTGCTGGATTATCTTAAGTATCTGATAATGGAGGTCCTGTACTGCATGTGTGTACTAGAGTACTGCATATGTGTACTAGAGTACTGCGTATGTGTACTAGAGTACTGCATATGTGTACTAGAGTACTGCGTATGTGTACTAGAGTACTGCATATGTGTACTAGAGTACTGCATAAGTGTACTAGAGTACTGCGTGTGTGTGTACTAGAGGCAGTGCAGATGTGCCTTTGGTGGATGCAGAGTGGAGGATGAGGGGCTCTGGTGAGGAGCTGGACCAGGGCCAAGGACTCCAAGCTGCTTTTTCTCTTCTCAATCTCAGAACCAACATGTGACCAACTGGTGCTAACACAGAGGATGGTGCCATCGTCATGAGTGCGTCTGCTCTTGTCTGTCTCTGTGTGGGGCTGGGCGCCTCTTTACATGGACACACTTCTGATTCACTCACTCACAACTGTACTAACTTATCTTTTGCATTTTCTTTTCAATGTACATGAAGATACATGCTCTTTTTCCTTATTACTCTCTCACGCATCGACAATATATGTGCCTCCTGTCTCTACTGTATGTTATAACTGTGTGTGCACTGCCCAGGTCTGTGCCTCAGGTCTCTGTGCCCCATGTGTGTCTCACTATGCCAGCTCTGCCTGTGTGTGTGTGCGTGTGTGTGTGTGCGCGTGTGTGCGTGTGTGTGTGTGTGCGCTTGTGTATGTGTGTGTGTGTGTGTGTCAATGTTTATGTGTAGTTTTTGTCCATCCCATCAGCAGACTCACAGGGTCATCTCAATCTGTGACTCAGTCAAATACCTCAGTGATAAGGACGACTCAGGGGCCTCAGCCTGGAGCTGAGGTGGGACAGGGTGAGGCTCACTCACCCATTGCTCCGTGCTCCATGCTCTCTGTCTGTTTCCCCAGCCACTCCCACAGCTTCATGGAGGACAATGTGGAACCTAATTGGCTGATGCGCCATCGTCAGTCTGTGGGATGGCATGGCCAGATGTCCAGAGCACTTTCTCGTGACGCGATTGGTTGACAAAGAGAGAACTTGGGCCTCTGGTCCCAAAGAGTTTGCACAAAGGAGTTTTGGGCCCCTCAGCGGATCATGTGACGAGTGGAGACCAGCGCTCCTGCCCTGGGCACTCTCTCTCTGATCGGACTGGCAGCGGATGTGCTCAGGCTTATGAACAGCTATGAACAGCTTTGAACAGCTATGCAGCATGAACAATGCACAGAGGCCAAGTACAGGAGCAGGAGAGAGGGCACTGCGGCATCTCCAGGTGCTTCACTTTCTTCTAATGACAAAGTATACCCTTGATTTTAAAGTAATTATTTTTATCATCTACTATTCATTATTGAAACACTAAACATTATAAATGCATTAGAAGTTATATATTACTACATAAAACAAATATTGACTTTTATACAATTGTGTTTTTGGTTCACAGTTTGAATGTATAGAAGACAAATACAACCTGAAATATGCACCGCTTTAAATCAAAAACCTTTGCTTCACTAAACTTTGAATAACGGACGATCAGTCCTTGAATAATTTATATTTCTATAATATCTGCGTATTCTTACAATGGTGAGTTCCAGAGCCTCGGAGCTGAATTCTTCCAGGGGACTTTTTGTTGCAACAGACAATGGGCTCGTTGGTCAAAGACAATCTGCTGTCCCTTGGTGAGAATGTCTCTGAGCTCCTCCTCAGCCATGGAGCTCTCCCTGGGGGTGATGTTGCAGCCATGGAGCTCTCCCTGGGGGTGATGTTGCAGCCATGGAGCTCTCCTTGGAGGGTGATGTTGGATGGCTCCTCTTGGACTGTGGTGAGCTCCTCCTTGGACTGAGAGGAACCTGAACGTTTGGTTTTCAGGCACAGAGCGACCACCATCAGGACTCCTGACGCATGGACATCTCTGGCATTAGCCCTGGCCTTTCCAGCGGAAGAGCGCGGCACGTGGGGGGGCTGCCAGGGTGAGAGGATGAGAGGGGGAGAGGACGCTTCACATGTGCATGATTATCCCAGGTATGAGCTCCAGCTTCTGTCTGATGATGTCAAGTCCTCATGTAGGAGCAAAACAGTTCGAAGTGCAGCAGACTGAGGTGTAATGGATCCATCTCTTGCAGCTGCAGTTTCTCACTCTAAACCTCCACAAAAGAACCTTGTGATTAAATGCATGGAAGTAGTTCCTGTGTCATTTGAAAACAGTTCTATTCCATCATTAGTTTTTGCATGTATTTTTAGCCTCTGTCACATCTTCAGATCAGCGTTTGGAGTGAGACAGAGAGGACCAGCGCTCTCTCCGCCCTCAGCTCTCAGGATGGAAAAGATACATGTTTTAAATCTGAATTGTTCACGCTCTTTTCTGCGGAACCAGAAAAAGTGAGGTACTCTTGCTTTAAAGCTGTGGGTGTTCCTCAACATCTGCAGAACCTTCAGCAGTAGAACCTTCAGCAGTAGAACTTTCAGCAATAGAACCTAAAGTAGAACCTTCAGCAGTACAACCTTCAGTAGAACCTTCAACAGTAGAACCTTCAGCAATAGAACCTTCAGTAGAACCTTCAACAGTAGAACGTTCAGTAGAACCTTCAGCAGTAAAACCTTCAGTAGAAACTTCAACAGTAGAACCTTTAGCAGTAGAACCTTCAGTAGAACCTTCAGCAGTAGAACCTTCAGTAGAAACTTCAACAGTAGAACCTTTAGCAGTAGAAACTTCAGTAGAAACTTCAGCAGTAGAACCTTCAGCAGAACCTTCAGCTGTAGAACCTTCAGTAGAACCTTCAGCAGTAGAACCTTCAGTAGAACCTTCAGCAGTAGAACCTTTAGCAGAACCTTCAGCAGTAGAACCTTCAGCAGTAGAACCTTCAGCAGTAGAACCTTCAGTAGAACCTTCAGCAGTAGAACCTTCACCAGTAGAACCTTCAGCAGAACCTTCAGCAGTAGAACCATCAGCAGAACCTTCAGTAGAACCTTCAGCAGTAAAACCTTCAGTAGAAACTTCAACAGTAGAACCTTCAGTAGAACCTTTAGCAGTAGAACCTTCAGTAGAACCTTCAGCAGTAGAAACTTCAGTAGAAACTTCAACAGTAGAACCTTCAGTAGAACCTTTAGCAGTAGAACCTTCAGTAGAACCTTCAGCAGTAGAAACTTCAGTAGAACCTTCAGCAGTAGAACCTTCAGTAGAACCTTCAGCAGAACCTTCAGCAGTAGAACCTTCAGCAGTAGAACCTTCAGCAGAACCTTCAGTAGAACCTTCAGCAGAACCTTCAGTAGAACCTTCAGCAGTAGAACCTTCAGTAGAACCTTCAGCAGTAGAACCTTCAGCAGTAGAACCTTCAGCAGTAGAACCTTCAGCAGTAGAACCTTCAGCAGAACCTTCAGTAGAACCTTCAGTAGAACCTTCAGCAGTAGAACCTTCAGCAGTAGAACCTTCAGCAGAACCTTCAGTAGAACCTTCAGCAGTAGAACCTTCAGTAGAACCTTCAGCAGTAGAACCTTCAGCAGAACCTTCAGCAGTAGAACCTTCACCAGTAGAACCTTCAGCAGAACCTTCAGCAGTAGAACCATCAGCAGAACCTTCAGTAGAACCTTCAGCAGTAAAACCTTCAGTAGAAACTTCAACAGTAGAACCTTCAGTAGAACCTTTAGTAGTAGAACCTTCAGTAGAACCTTCAGCAGTAGAAACTTCAGTAGAAACTTCAACAGTAGAACCTTCAGTAGAACCTTTAGCAGTAGAACCTTCAGTAGAACCTTCAGCAGTAGAAACTTCAGTAGAACCTTCAGCAGTAGAACCTTCAGTAGAACCTTCAGCAGAACCTTCAGCAGTAGAACCTTCAGCAGAACCTTCAGCAGTAGAACCTTCAGCAGAACCTTCAGTAGAACCTTCAGCAGTAGAACCTTCAGCAGAACCTTCAGTAGAACCTTCAGCAGTAGAACCTTCAGCAGAACCTTCAGTAGAACCTTCAGTAGAACCTTCAGCAGTAGAACCTTCAGCAGTAGAACCTTCAGCAGTAGAACCTTCAGCAGTAGAACCTTCAGCAGAACCTTCAGCAGTAGAACCTTCAGCAGTAGAACCTTCAGCAGTAGAACCTTCAGCAGAACCTTCAGTAGAACCTTCAGCAGTAGAACCTTCAGCAGAACCTTCAGTAGAACCTTCAGCAGTAGAACCTTCAGTAGAACCTTCAGCAGTAGAACCTTCAGCTGCAGACCTCCACAATCCTTCTGGAGCAGAGTCAGTTCCCATGTATTTGTTTCAGGAGGAAAACTTCAGTCTCAAAGTGTTTTATCTCATGTTCTATAAAAAGGGAATAATTTCAGCACTCACTAACTTTGTAAAGTATAGAGTTCAGAAGATGTGCCATTCCCAAATAAAGCAGAGGAAGTTCTGTTGGTTTGGCTAAAAGGCAAATGTATTTGTGTAGCACAGTTCATATAAGACAAAGTGCTCAAAACTCATAGCATTAAAAACATAGAAAATCGCAGCACATTAAAAAGAGTTGTCTGTTTTAGCCTGGATTTGAACATTGTCAGAGAAGAAGCCTGTCTCACATTTTCAGGAAGACTATTCCAGTTTAGTCCTGACTCTGGGCATCGACAGGAGGCCAGTCCCTGTGATCCTCAGAGTCCCAGCAGGAGGCCAGTCCCTGTGCTCCTCAGAGTCCCAGCAGGAGGCCAGTCACTGTGGAAGGACGCCAGTGCAGAGACCTCAGACCAGGACTGATGTGATGGTACTTCCTGGTTCTTGTAGGACCCGAACTGAAGGTTTTATCTCCAAACAAAGAGATGCTAAGATGCTAATATAAAACACCAAAGCAAAGAACTTGCTTCAGCCAATCAGAGCTGTTGGTTTGTCAGGTGACTTTTGTGACACTAACATTTATGAAACGTTTTGTCGTGATAAGAAACATGTCAAATGAACAGAACGTTCTTGTACCTCTGAGTCACTTTGAGCCGAGAGCTGATTGGCCGAGTGAGGGCGGTCCTTCGCTGATCTACAGATGTGAAGAGGACAGAAATAAAGCTGGTGACAAACAAACTGTTGAGAGCGATAAAGGAACTACTTCCATTTCATTACATCCTTTATTTGATGAAGTTTCAAAGTTACTTTTTTGTGGTTTTACCAGTTTTTGTGGTTTGAAAGATGAGAACTGAGAAAAGTTTAACAAAAATAGATTCGGTCAATAAGAAGATTAACAACCTCCATTCGATAATTAGACTTCAGATCCGGATATATAAAAATGTACAAGTCTACAACCAGTCTTTAGTCTTTAGTTCTGGGACTGGGATAATCCTCATGTGAAGATACAGAAGTGTGTAGCTCCAGAGGAGAAGCACCAGAGGCTCCTCCTCTGGAGCTCCTCCTCTGGGGTTAGCACCTCCTCTGGGGTTAGCACCTCCTCTGGGGTGAGCACCTCCTCTGGGGTTAGCACCTCCTCTGGAGCGCCTCCTCCTCGTGGCACGCCTGACCCGCACTATAAGAGCTGTCATAAAGCTTGCACTCCAGAGGTTTTTTCTATCTCCATCGCCGTTTGTAAACAGTTTGTACAGAGAGCATTTCATGTGTTGAATTTTGATGATTTGATGATATGTTTGCAGCGGTTGTTCTATATTTATTCCAAACAATATATTACTTGGTATTTTATTCCCCAAAGTCTGCCTCCTGTGGTGCTCCATGGGACAGGTGATTTTGTAGGTCTTTTCTGAATCGTGTGCCTCCCCCCGCCCCATCTTCGCGCTCATAGGATGCGTTCACAGATTCAAGAGCTTAATATCAACAAAGAAGACCTTCACTCTGGCAGAGGGCGGGTCCTCAGGAGGTCTGAGACAGAGGGCGGGTTCTCAGGAGGTCTGAGATAGAGGGCGGGTCCTCAGGAGGTCTGAGATAGAGGGCGGGTCCTCAGGAGGTCTGAGATAGAGGGCGGGTCCTCAGGAGGTCTGAGACAGAGGGCGGGTCCTCAGAAGGTCTGAGATAGAGGGCGGGTCCTCAGGAGGTCTGAGACAGAGGGCGGGTCCTCAGGAGGTCTGAGATAGAGGGCGGGTCCTCAGGAGGTCTGAGATAGAGGGCGGGTCCTCAGGAGGTCTGAGACAGAGGGCGGGTCCTCAGAAGGTCTGAGATAGAGGGCGGGTCCTCAGGAGGTCTGGGACAGAGGGCGGGTTCTCAGGAGGTCTGAGATAGAGGGCGGGTCCTCAGGAGGTCTGAGATAGAGGGCGGGTCCTCAGGAGGTCTGAGACAGAAGGTGGGTTCTCAGGAACTCTGAGACAGAGGGCGGGTCCTCCGGAGGTCTGAGACAGAGGGCGGGTCCTCAGGAGGTCTGAGACAGAGGGCGGGTCCTCAGGAGGTCTGAGATAGAGGGCGGGTCTTCAGGAAGTCTGAGATAGAGGGCGGTACCTCAGCTGTGATCTAAACTATCCGTAGTTTAATACTTGAGACAGAGATTGTGATTTTGTATCTTGTTTAACATAGACTTCTGTACACCGTTATTTCTGTCTTGGGTCATTACCATTGATTGACGCTAAAAAATATTAGTCAAAATTGCTTGAAATGTTCTTGATTTTAGTACATTTTTGTCTTAGAAGAAGGTTTGCCAATGAGACTTGCAAAAAGTACTTTTTTTTTTTTTCTTTAGGGCCAACTCAGAATGGGATAGAAATTCCTACTGCGCATTAAGTGATTAAGGCCATCAATTCTATTCAATGTTTGTATCTTTCTACATCCCTACTGTAGTTATCTCGCAGGACTTGACAAAACTGTTGATTCGCCAACAACAGATCAGAGAATCAAACACAGGAATTGCAATGATAAAAAACAGGGGCTTTGGTCCATAAGGGACAGAGACCAAAGTTGAAAGTGGAGTGTCCTGGATCTTCACCACTGTCCTGAGACCCTCCTGCGTCAGAACAACTCTAAAAACACAGAGGGAGAGAGCGAGAAACCTCAGGGAGGCCCACATTGAGGGAGGGATCCTCTCCCACAGACAGGCGGGTTGTAGATCCAGGACTGAGGCTGTAGATCCAGGACCCAGACTTTAATCAATCAAGATTTTATGATTATTTTCACAAATGATGAAAAAGACTAGATTTCAGAATGTGAAATGTGAAAATGGCTCGCACATCCACACAATAGATGCCTTTTCTTTCACATAATTCTCATTCTCCAAAAAACTGATGATAAAAGTGTCTATTGTGCAGAAGCTGACATTGTAAATATAATGCAGGAGTGTTCTCTGGAAACACTGCCCTTGTTTACACCTGGATAAACTACAAGCACTTTGGAGCAGAGAAGAGAAGACCCCAAGACTCTCTCAGGATCCAGACCTCACACTGACTTCTCTCACTGTTAATGCTTCAAAAAGTTGATGAATCGCATGCTCAGCCCTATATCACCCTAAATAACAACAGTAGTATCTCTGAGGACTTTATAAAGCTCTCGATTCTCCAACACAGATCAGAAAATCAAACAGTTGAAACCCAGGAAATGCAACGATAACAAACACATAGAGCCATTGGTCCATAAGGGGCACAGACCAATGTCCATAAATGTTGTTGAATTTGAAGTGTCCTGGATCATCTCTGTCCTCAGACCCTATTTCTTGCACTTGAGGTGAGTTTGTCCACTACATATTTGTACTGCAAACACAGACAGACCACTGTAGGTCAGCTTCACAGACCGCTCCACACCGCGAGGCCTGCATTGGCTCGGCTCGAGTGTCATTCATGGTCAATATCTGGGTAACTATTCGGTTTAACAACATGAAACCAACACAGGCTCAACATTCAAAGTCTTCTCTGTTTTTCTTCTTTTCAAAGTAGAAATACAACACATGAGGTGCACATGGGTAACGTGTGGGCCGCATGCCAAACCAGCACCATGAGGAGAACCTGCCCTCTTTCTGAGGCGTTATCAGAGAGAGAGAGAGTAAACGCATCCTATGGCCACGCCCCTTTGACAAGCCATATGCCCTTCCCCCGTTGGTTGTTTGACGGACAGACATTTGGGGACTTGTGTTCAATGGAAGAGTGCTGTTGCAGAGTGTATCGCAGTGGTTTATCAGTTTGTTATGAATGTGAATATACAGATTTTTGAATTCCTATTGTAATAATGTTAATAATGATGATTGCCTCCTTGAATTCTTGAATCTTTCACGCAGTGGATGAGAATTCCATTTTTGTGTGCGTGTATGTGTGTGGTGGGGGTTCCCCAGAATTTATATTTTTCAGGAGGTTGAATATGGAAATAGAACTAATACATAATTAAATTAATAAACAAATAATGAAATTCTTCTTTATTGTATGTGTCTTTCTATGGTCTTTTTTCATAATTGTGCATCAGGAATCATGAAAGCGTTCAAAGCAAAAACTCCCGGACTGGATCATGTATGGAACAGAACAACACTATAAGAATCAAAAACGAGCTCATGTAATGGATTCATTATTTAAAGTGGAACTAGGGAGCTACGGGAGCCTGAGGGGAAGTCTGGAAAAAAATATTCAATAAAATTTAAATTATTTTTGTTTATGGCCCTAAATCCCAATTGTAGTTATCTCAGAGGACTTGACTTTACAAAGCTGTTGATTTGCCAACACAGATCAGAGAAGGAAACAGGAAATGCAATGATTACACATAGAGCCATAGAGACACGGTACACAGAGAAACATGAGAGCATTCTGACCAATCAGCCAGAAAGCGTAGATTTATACATAAAAAAGCCAATGGATTAAGTGAAAATGTAAAAAAAAGAGACAAAAAACCTGACTTTTGCCAAAACTGTAGGTTCAGGATCAGCTGAGGATAAAACCCATCCATTTTCTTCCCCTTAATCCATTTCTGGGTCGGGGGGGGTGGCCAGAGATGCCACCCAGTACACAGAGCACCAGCCCCTCACTGATCCTCCTGCAGGTGGTGAGTCCACAGGAGCTGAGATCTTTCAGTGGGAGCTTCAGGCAAAGTGGGGTTAAGTGTCTTGCCCAAGGACACAACGACAGCAGTCATCAGTGGGAGTCGTGAAGTAGGTCTTACGGTGGGCTCGAACCCACGACCTTCAGGCTCAAAGGCCAATGCTCTACCAACTGAGCTACTGTCGCCCAGGATAAAACCATTTGTGAAAAGTGAGGTCTATGGTAAAATCGGCTGAGGGCGTAAAAATCTACCCAGATAGTAATAATAATAATAATAATAAAAATGATAATAATAATGCATTGGATTTTTTTACCAGCAAAATTAAAGGCTAACTGCTGCAAGTAAACAGTGTGGTGCTATGGTAACTAGCACTGGCTCCAATCTGAGATTGCTCTGAATCAGTCTAGGACCAGTCTAGGGTAAAGATAATTTCATGAACATTATTATGGGAGGCACGGTGGTTAGAGCTTGTGCTTCACAGAAAGAAGGTCCTTGGTTTATGTGTGAAGTTTGCATGTTCTTCCTGTGTCTTTCTCCAGGTACTCAGGTAGGAGAAAAGCTTGGAGAAAAGAAATATTCCTTACTTACATTTAAATAAACTACATAACTATACAGGTATGAAGTCAAACATTTTACAACGGAGTAATTACACTACCAAAAACGAAAATGGGACTCTCCAGGAGTTATTAACATCAAACCCACCTCACACCTGTAACTCTCGCGACATCCTCAACGAGACTTGACTCGGGCTTCCTGCGGAGCTATGGCAGCTTCACTGCTCTGGCTGCCCCATGATCTGCACCTTTCTCCCCGCTGCGGTGGCTGTGTGTCCCCAGGTCCCTGCAGCTGACCGGGACCGTACTAGAGCCGGCTCCCCCATCTCATCAGGCCGAGGACAAGCTCAAACCCCCGGCCAACAGCTCCAGAGACACCGCTGTGTACCTCTGCTAGCCTGTTAGCCTGTTAGCCGTTAGCCTCCACCGGGCTCCATAGCAACTCGGGCACATATTAGCATTCTGTCTTTTACTATTTCAGTTCATAAATAAAAGACAACTTGCTGAACATCAATGCTTAGACGGTGTTGTGGCTCGTGATATTGCTCTAAATGCCGTCACGACTGAGGGAAAAGCCTGTGTGTTAGCCCGGGCAGCCTCCACGGTATACCCGCTCATCCAGCTGTCAGTGTGGCCGAGCACGGGGCTCTCACTCCCGGGCAGAAGATGAGCGGACCGCCGGGCCAGGACAGCGAGCCAGAGGCGAAGGGACAGCACATCAAGCGGCTGTACAGGTGCGTGAAGAGGCAGACACATGGTACTCTGGTTTATTTAGGGGGAAGCCATAGTAAAGCAACTCCCAGACTCATCAAAGACCTATTAATGTGACTATAATTAAAACTAATGATTGAGTATTGATTTTGAAACTATTCCCATATATGTTTAAATAATACCTGGAATGCCTTTGGGGAAATAGAGCTAACCCTAACTATGACTGGCTACTACGCCTGCCTGCCATAATTACATATAGTTATGGCAGGGATAAAGAGATGTATTATGTTGTTTTCATATATAAATGGTTACAATAGAGCTGCAGAATCCCTGTGAACCTCATCTGATAGAAAACGTGGGCTCGGGTAAAGAACATTACAACATTCTCACTGTTGCAAAGAATTATATACCCTCATACACCCTTGCTGTGTGAAGGAGAGGTTCCATAGGTCTTTCCTTTTTGGTGCTGTCAGACTGTACAATGACAACTGCTGAGTCTGTCTTATCTGCAAATAGTGAAAATTCTGAATGTCACTATCTATTTATTATCCTGGCACATATATATTACACTATATAGATAGGTAGGTAGTTGTCTCAATTCCAAATGTAAAATAGATTTTGATACCAATGAAAGTACTCAATACATAGGGATGATTTTAATGACCGCACATTATCCTAGGTATGAAATCATTCCAAACTGCTCAATTTGGCCCTATCTGTGGAACTTACTACTTGAAAGTTATGAAAATCAAAATCCCAAAGTAAACAAAGTTGTGTTGTTACATCTATAATATATAGAGATGAAGACATCCTTTATTCGTCCCACGACATTTCAGTGTAATAATGGGACCCAAACTCGTCAGACCTATTTAATATCCCACAGAATAGTGTTTTTTGACCGTCCTCCATGTTGTTTTCCTGTAGTAAACTGCTTCCTCTTGTGCTCAGGGCTGTGGTGGAGTCTGTGCATAAACTGGATGTGATAATCAGCAGCAAAGCCTCCTACAGAGAGGTGTTCAAGCCCGAGATCATCAGCCTCCGGAACAAGTATGTGTTCAGAAATTATCCTCCTCCTCAGAGCCTCACAGCGCTTCTGGTATCTTGCATACAAGTATACTGAAAAAACGATTGATTATTGATGAAACAAAACTTGATTAATGTTTGGATCAGTGCTGCTCTGCTCACTGAGGCGGCAGTCTCCTGCTCATCTGGAGTAAGTAGGGGTCGACTGATTATCGGCCTCACCCACATTTCTGAATCCTATGAAATGTACTGTAGAGCAGCGTTGTTTTTCCTCAAATGCTGACTGATTCAGTGTTTCCCCCGAGCACGATCTGATTGGTCAGACTCTGCAATAGTAAACACGAGAACAGGAAGTGAAACGGCTGAGAGCTGGAGACGTTTCTCTGCTGTGGCTGGTCCACAGTGTGAGGATATTTATCCATGTGGCACCACCTGCAGGTGAAAGCCAGATCCTCTCAGACCTCTGAAGCTATGCAGGGCAGGGCCTGGTTAGGACTTTGATGGAAGACCCGGGGCAGCTGTGGCAATACAGTGCCAAACTGTTGTTGTGTCCTTAGGCCTGACACATCACCCACATTAGAACGAGTCTGGTGTGTGTGCGGCAGTTCCTTAGCGACCGGTTCCTCAACCGGTCGCTAAGGAACTGTACTGTGCCGAACTGCTTTAAAGAGTCGACCATCATTCCAGTTCCTAAGAAAACTCCTGTTACATGCCTGAATGACTATCGTCCTGTGGCCCTCACGTCTGTTCTTATGAAGACTTTTGAGCGGCTTGTGCTGGACTTCATTAAGAGCCAGATCCCTGTGAGTGTTGACCCGCTCCAGTTTGCTTACAGACAGAACAGGAGTGTGGAGGATGCCATCTCCTTTGCTCTGAACTCTGTCTACACTCACTTGGACACTAGTAAATCTGTCGCGAGAATGCTTTTCATCGATTATAGCTCTGCTTTTAACTGCCTTGTCCCAGGTAAACTGATTGAAAAGCTCATGTCTCTCGGTTTAAGTGTTGCCATGTGTAAATGGATTTTTAGCTTTTTAACTGACAGATCTCAGCGAGTGAAAATCAATGACTGTTTTTCTGATGTTGTTTCTGTGAGCACTGGATCTCCTCAGGGATGTATTTTGAGTCCTTTGCTTTTTACTTTGTACACTCACAATTTTGTGTCCTCCTCTGACTCAAACTTGATCATTAAATATGCTGATGACACCACCATCATCGGTCTCATCAGTGACACTGATGAATCCTCTTATAGAGCAGAGATACAAAATGTGGTTCAGTGGAGTAAAACTAACAACCTCCCAGTTGAACGCATCGAAAACATGTGAACTGGTCTACGACTTCAGTCGCAATAGTTCTCATTTGCCTGTCGTAATCGACAACTCCCAGGTGCAGATCGTAGAGGAGTGCACGTTTCTCGGTTTAACTCTTTCTAACGACCTGAAATGGGTTAAAAACACTGACCGAATCGTTAAGAAAGCTCGTCAGCGTCTCTACTTTCTGCGGAAACTTAGAGAATTTACCACTAACTCTAAGATTCTGCTTAACTTTTATCGCTGCACCATTGAGAGTTTACTTGTTGGTTCTGTGTCTGTGTGGTTTGGAAACATCACAGATAAAGAAAAGAGATCTTTAAACAAGGTGCTCCGCTCTGCAAAGAGGACCGTGGGCTGTGAGCTTCCTGTTCTGGAGGTTCTTTATAAATCCAGACTTTTAAACAAAGCTCTTAGGATTGTTAATGACTCTTCTGGCCACCCTGGGAAAGCCATGTTCCAGCTTCTTCCCTCTGGCAGAAGATATCGCTCTCTGAGATGCAGGACATCTCGTTACGCTAACAGTTTTTATCCACAGGCTGTTATCAGTGTGAACAGAGCACTTTAATGATTTGCACTTGTTTTGAAACTGTTTTAGTCGATCGATTTCACAGTGACTTTTGTTTACTGTTTTATTTGTTTTATTTTTGTCTTTTAATGTTGTTTTATGTCTGTATTTGTCTGTGCACACTGGAGACTTTTCGCTAATGTATTCCAATGTGGTTTTTTTTACTGCAATGGCAAATAAACTGAATCTGAATCTGAATGTTTGGTGGTGGTGGTCGGAGGGGCTGATGGCACAGACTGGTTGCCTCGCTTCTGTCAGTATGCCTCAGGGCAGCTGTGGCTACAGTATTAGTTTAATACCACTGTGTTTGGAGTGAAAGAATAATGAGATGTGGAGCGTCCTGAAAAGTGTTCTATGAAACAGATGTATGATTATTAATCCATACATGATTCATTTTAGCCTTCATGTCAGGCTCACTGGAGTTTCAAGAAAACTATTAGTTCTGCATGTAACACCATGAGAGGGCTTAATGCGTTAGCTTGTAAACTTCCCCATGTATTCTGCAGACTGTTTATGCCAAAGGCACAGACACTTGTTGAATCAAACTCTGCTGTATGCAGAGAACAGGCGCCCTGAGCTGAGACCAGGCTGTGTCACACTCTACTGCAAAGAGCAGACACTTCACACTGTGTGGCCAAAATCTTAAGAACAATAGTTTTGTTGTTGTTTAATGTGTTCAGTAGGGGTGGGCGATATAGTTTTTTACGATGAGATATTCTTTAAGCTCAATATGAATTTTGACAAAATACGGTGTAGAGTATGACAGAATCGCAGGTGGTGTAGCGTCCAAGTGTGTGGCATTTCATACAGCAGGGGACACTGCACCTTTTGTCGTCATTGAACAACGTGGGTTCATACCAGAGACAGTAAACTTTATATGCAGCTACAAAACAAAACACGGATGCAGATTACTGAGTTGAGGCATTACTATTAGTGATGCACCGATAGTGATACTGGTATTGGGTCAAAACCATAGGCTCCTACTCATACTCGTACTCATACCATAGGGCTAGGGGTGGGAAAAATATATCGTAGACAATAATATCGTGAAAGTCAATTTGAAGATATGCTTTTTTGTATTATCGTCTTTTTTATATTTCAATACATATTACAATTAGAGAAGGACAGATGCCCATTCGTCCAAAGTGTTCCTAAAAAGCCAATCACTGCTTTATTTGTACAGTAAATGTACAGTAAATATTGAGCTAGCCTTTTTGGACGTGTTCTTGCTTGAATTTGATTTTTAATGTTAATATATGTTATCGCAAAGATGTGTGAAGCTCTTTACAAATAAAAAGCTTCTATTTTGATCTACACTGTCTCTATCTATAGGTGCCCTGGCAAGAAAAACATTGCAGTAAAAATGATTGATTTTAAAGATATCGTGACAATATCGTTATTGGGAGTTGGGAAATAAATATAGAGATATTTATTTTTGTCCATATCGCCCACCCCTACAAAGGACCTGATGCCAGCAACCGATACCCACTTTTACATTAGCGTCACGACAGCAGACAGCTGTATGGGACGTGTTGCCATGGTGATCTCCTAAAGTGAGTGTTTAAACCATAGCTAAAATGTTTAGTTGTTAAAGCATTTTCTTATTGGTGAAATGAAAAATAAAACATTTACATTTTCAGTTGTATTAGTTTTATGAATTTCCAGAGACAACACAATGCAGTACTCGCATAGGTCTTCGGTATCGGCAAGTACTCAAATTAAGGTATTTGTACTCTAATCGGTTTTGAAAAAAGTGGTATCGGTTCATCCCTGCTTACTCTTAATGCAATTAGGGATTTTTCAAGAGATTATGTTACAGTAAAAATATAAAACTAGTCTTTGAGGTCCAATAAAAGACTTTGGAAATTGGATAATTAGTTTTTGCAGTAATGTTTGGGGGGTTATTTATCCTGTAAATCAAAATATATATCGTATGTACTGTATATAGAAAAATATATTGATGTAGGACCAGTATGTATAGACTTGATAAGAGTGATGGTATGAGTTGTGCGTCCATGGTAACGCTGTTGTGTTTGTGGTCAGGCTGAGGGAGCTGTGCGTCAAACTCATGTTCCTTCATCCTGTGGACTACGGCCGAAAGGCCGAGGAGATGCTCTGGAGGAAGGTCTATTACGAAGTCATCCAAGTCATCAAGACCAACAAGAAGGTGAGCGCTTAACTTAACCTCTGGGAACACCAGCCACAGTGGGGCGGCTGCAGCTGTAAAGTGCCAAACTGCCGTTGTGTCCTTAGGCAAGACACTTCACCCCCATTGCCTAGAATGAGTCTGGTGTGTGTGTAAATGGTTGGTGGTGGTCGGAGGGGCCGATGGCACAGACTGGTTGCCTTGCTTCTGTCAGTGTGCCCCAGGGCAGCTGTGGCTACAGTAGTAGTTTATCACCACCGTGTTTAGAGTGAAAGAATAATGATATGTAAAGCGTCTTTGAGTGTCCAGAAAAGCCCTATATAAAACCGATTTATTATTATTATTATTATTATTGGGTTGCAGCTCTGCCTTTTCCCCCTGCAGGGCATTGTATTGTTACAGCCCTAGAGATAATTTGGAAAGAGGAGTTTAAACAGAAGTCGGTCATGGCGGAGATTTCATGTCTACCATATATTTAAAACAAATGCACAGTCTTCAGCAGCAGAACATTGGTTCCTTGAACACAGTGAAACGCTGCCATCCTTCTGTGCAGCACATCCACAGCCACAGCGTCCTGGAGTGTGCCTACCGCACTCACCTCATCGCTGGGGTGGGCTTCTACCAGCACCTGCTGCTCTACATCCAGTCTCACTACCAGCTGGAGCTGCGCCACTGCATGGACTGGACCAACGTGTCGGACCCCCTCATAGGTGAGACCATTCACAACTGTCATCTACAGGAATCTTTTTGTTTTCTTCATATTTTTGGTTGGGTTCATCTGTTTGGATTCATCATCAAATATGTTGTTGTTTGTCCCCAGTTCGTAAGAAGCCTCTGTTTGCGTCTCCAAAAGAGATGGAGTGGGCTCAGTCTGCCTGCCATCGCTGCCTGGTCTGTCTGGGGGATCTGGGTGAGTCTCACTCAGACCAGAGACTAGAGAGAGAGAGAGACACTAGAGAGAGAAAGAGACACTAGAGAGAGAGAGACAATAGAGAGAAACGAGAGAGAGAGACACTACAGAGATAGACACACTAGAGAGATGGAGAGACACTAGAGGGAGAGAGATCAGAGAAAAGAAGTTTAGTAAAGTGCTGGTGTTGTGTACGCAGCGCGCTATCAGAACGAGTTGGCAGGAGTGGACACTGAGCAGCTGGCCGTGAGGTTCTACCACCAGGCTCTGACCGTCATGCCTCTAGTGGGTGAGTCAAACACACACTGTCTGTCTGTGTGTGTGTCTGATGTCATTCCAAAGTCAAATATGACCTCAGCCTCTTTAAAGGTGCATTCCTCGCTTTTGTGAAGTGGCCCAATACCTGCGATTTCAATCATACAATATACTGTAAATATTGATGTTTCTGTTTTGTGCAGGCATGCCCTTTAACCAGCTGGGTACTCTGGCTGGCAGCAAGTTCTACAATGTGGAGGCCACGTACTACTACCTGCGCTGGTCAGTCTCACAGGCGCACACTGGTGCTGTATCTATGCACATGGTTTACTGGCTGATATTTTAAAACTGTGTTCTTATTTTGACTCATAATTGTTGTGTAAATAATTGGACTGATTTAGAAATCCACTTTCTGTGATTGGAGCAATGCTATTGTCGGCCCCTTCACTGGCATCTGTTCACGTCTGGGACTCAGATAATGAAAGTACAAAGTACTTACAGTACAGTCAAGCAGAGGTTGGCAATATTTCCCCCCTCAAGATATCGCCCTATTGTAGGGCTGGGCGATATGGCAAAAAAAAAAAATCTCCGATTTTTTCACACCAAATCCGATTTTCGATTTTAATCGATTTATTTTTTTCTATTTAAAAACAAACTACAACTGACAAAGAAATAGATTTTCCTTTATGCAGTTTAATCTAAATCCCCATGGAGCATAAGTGTAACAGGAATTAAGCCTTAAAACATGCTTGTAAACGAGATGGCTCTGCCATTGTAAACAGTGAAAATGTAGCTTAACAGTTTTATAATAACTTCACTTACAATGACACTATGCACCTTCAAAATAACTTAAATCACACAAACAAGGCCCATCGCAAATATATCAATCCTATTAAACACATACATTATTTACATGAAATATCACATTTTTAAAACTGATTACTCAAAATAGAAATGTTGTAACAGACAGTCTTTTCCAAAAGCCTCCTCGGACTGTAGCTAACAGCTACTGTAGCTAGCAGCTACTGTAGCAGCTACTGTAGCTAACAGCTACTGTAGCTAACAGCTACTGTAGCTAACAGCTACTGTAGCTAGCAGCTACTGTAGCTAGCAGCTACTGTAGCTAACAGACAGCGGGGAACACGTTGTTTGTATCAGAGCAATGAGAGCAATGTGTGAGACGTGTCTTTCCCCAAAGTGCAGCGGCTCAGTGGGACACGAGTGTGTGCGCGCCACGGACACGGGAGTGCGCTTTGAAATAACGAGCGTGAGAGAGCGTGAAAGATGTGGCGTACGAACATGGCGTACGAACATAGCGACCGGAGCCTGCGTGCGTGTGTGTGTGTGTTCTGGCGATTTAAATAAAGTCTGATTCTTGAACGTTTGAAGTGTTATTGCAACAGCACCAACTGTGAGAGCGAGCATCAGGCCAGAGGGAGACTGTTAGCATTAGGTTAGCTTCAAAATGACTGCTCAACACCATAGACCCGCGGTTAGCGCGTTAGCGCTGTAGTTCTGCGCTGGAGAAAATAAAAATCGAATTTTTAAAAAAAGAAATCGCCCTAAACGTAAAACTCAAATTAATGATTAAAATCGATTAATCGCCCAGCCCTACCCTATTGTGTATATTTATAAATATATAGTTTTTAAAATATATATATCTTGTTTTATTTTACACATAAAGATATCCAGTGTTTTCCTGGTGGACCAGGCCATGGAAGCACAAGGGTTAGCCACATGTGACCCCTAGGCCACACTTTGCCCATGTCTGCTCTAAAGTATGTAGCAGACAGAAGCATGTTATAGAAACAGGGTCATTGATTCACTGTAGACCGCAGGAAATTATCAAATTATATTAAAAAAACAAAAAAATTTGAATCCCCATTTTGGAGTTTTTCCTTTTGATCAGTAAATACATGTGTATAAAGAACATTCTAATTGGATGGTTTGCAGTGAAGACTTAACATTAAACTACTGCTGTGTCTTGTCTTTGGCAGTATCCAATCAGAGACCCCCTTCGAGGGCGCCTATGGAAACCTCAAACGCCTTTTCGACAAAGCTGCCAAGATGTACCAGCAGGTGAAGAAGCAGGAGATGAAGAAGCTCTCTCCGTCACGACAGAGGTGTGGCAAAAATAGTCTGGTTTTATGACCTACCTGCTTGACATAGATAGATGAGTTTATTGATCCCAGTAGAAGAAATGCAGGTGTCCAGCAGCAGAAACACGTCCAAACAAACACATGAATCCATCATTATAAAAGAGACTATCGATAGTAATAAAGTGCAGCAGCAGCAGAGGCGGTGCAGCTGCAGCAGCAGCAGAGGCGGTGCAGCTGCAGCAGCAGCAGAGGCGCTGCAGCTGCAGCAGCAGCAGAGGCGCTGCAGCAGCAGCAGAGGCGCTGCAGCAGCAGCAGCAGCAGAGGCGCTGCAGCAGCAGCAGAGGCGGTGCAGCTGCTGGTGATGAGCTGCTTCCTCTGGGTGATGCTGCAGAGTCTGCTTGGTTCAGAGTGAAATTCTAAATGCTTTATTAGCATTTTTCAAAACCAAAAATGGCATTCCTCCAGTGGATTTTTGCTTGATAACGTAATACAAAATCTTGTTCCACATCAGCAATGGAGTTGTTTAAACCGGTACTAACTCATCTCCTGAGAACAAATCCTCAGGCTGTGACATCAGCAAGTAAAATAAGGAGAAACCATCTTGCGTTTGTTAATTCTTTAAACTAATTTGAAGGCAACATTTCTTTCTCTCTAAAGGGCCTCTTCTCTTGTGTGCAATCGTTACCTGTGTTGTCTGGTTTCTCCTACATTTGTTTATTTTCGGTGCAAGACATGAGTAAAAATCCAGCTTCAGCTAAACAACATTGCACTGGCTTCTGTGTAATGCGACATGTTTGAGGAGTCTGTGGTTTATTGTAAAAACACTGGTGTAAAGTGTTTGTTCCTCTGCAGGTCCAAAGACATGAAGCGTTTACTGGTGAGCTTCATGTACCTGCAGAGTCTGCTCCAGCCCAGAACCAGGTGAGTGTGTCATCAGTCATGTGACTCATGTGATTACTTCCTGTGACCACTTGACCAGATGTTCCTACACTAATAAAGTATTTTTATGTTAAGCCTTGGACCTTTTCCCTTGTTTCCCACAGATCTTGAAGAGCACGTGACTCTTATGCACTCATTCCTCTTCTATTTTTGCCGATGTATGAATTGCTATTAGTCAATTAATGAGGAGATATTTGAATAAAATGTAAATCTAAATGAAAAACATGTTTCAGACATAATTAACCATTGTTACGTGCCTACAAAGCCAGACGTGCTCATTCTGCTTCAGTCCATATTTTCCTGAATACTGATTTCCTTCATGGATTCATTTTGGATTATTCTTGAGTTTTCACTTCAGAGGCGTCAGATTCTAGCGACAGGCGAGAGCATCTGGTTTCATGATGAATGTGTTTGTGTGCAGCTTGGTGGACGTGGATCTGACCTCTCTGTGCCAGTCGGTGCTCGAAGACTTTAACCTGGTGCTGTTCTACCTGCCCATACCCTCCCCCAGCACAGCCCCCCACTCCCCCTCTGAGGAGGAGGAGGAGCCACACGACAGCCCCGCCCCCGCGCTGCCTGACGCTCTGCTCTTTAAGATGGTGGTCATCTGCCTGATGGGGGTGCACAGCCTGAAGAGAGGAGGTCATTCACAACTACACTTTTCTACCACTCCATCACAGGTTATTTAGAATAAGGGGCACTTAGGTTAGCACTCTCGCTTCTCAGCAAGAAGGTCCTGGGTTTGAATCCTGGTCGGAACAGAGCCTTTCTGAGTGGAGTTTGGATGTTCTCCCCGTGTCTGCAAAGTTTTCCTCCGGGTTTTCTGGTTTCCCCTACCACTAAAAACATGTATAATAGGGACGTCCCGCCTGACGTCACGCCATTTGGAGCAGCCATCTTGACGGAATATCCATCCATCCATTTTCCTCCGCTTCATCCGTTGCCGGGTCGCGGGGGCAGCAGTCTAAGCAGAGACGCCCAGACTTCCCTATCCACACACACCTCCTCCAGCTCGTCCGGGGAGACCCCTAGGCGTTCCCAGGCCAGCTGAGAGACATAGTCTCTCCAGCGTGTCCTGGGTCTTCCCCGGGGCCTCCTCTCGGTGGGACGTGCCCGGAACACCTCCCCAGGAAGGCGTCCTGACGGAATAGAAAATGCAAAACCGCTGGTGATACTACAGGTCGTTGCAAAATTTTCCTATCATGCTGGAGCGATGCTGTGCAGTTGGATGCGACCAGATACGTGATCAGACAATAGAATACAGTATACATATACATCCCTAACACAAATGCACGGAGGTTTTCAGAATTATTTGTTAACGTTTTCATGACGAAAATATTGTTTTAATGTGACAAAGCGATCGTGATAAACCCGGAAGTAACCATTAACATGAAACAAACATTTTAGGACACATTTGAAGAGGATCTGATTATGGATTTAGGTTCGGAATATAAATGGGTAACTCATCGCTGATGTTTAGAATTCTTTGTTCAGTTTTCATGTAGTTCCAGAGAGTTTTTGAACTAGCTAACTTAGCTCCATTGCTGCGGAGTCGGCGGACGGATTCCGTCAAAATGGTTGACACGCAGCTATGGGTCATGTGAATGGGAGATCCCTATGGGTCTGGCATGTGCCTCCTGTACTGGCAACCCCGCTCCCATCTCAATCCGCAGTGAATTGTAAACCGCTTTGTGACACTAGTCTGTGAAAGGAGGTTTATAGTTTACTTACTACTACTATTTCATAGTTGCCCAATTTCAGACCGTGGCAAAGTTACAAGATGCTCTGAGAGTTTCACGAAGTGCCATGTGCATTTCACACCAGACGCCTCTTCTTGTAGTTGTTTCGAACATGTGTTATTTCAGTTGTATTGAAATGTAACTAGCTACATACAATATTTATATAACTAGTAGAAAGAACTCATTGAGCCTCATATATGACAGTAGAAGTATGTACAGGGAAAGTGTAGTGATGTGAACGTTCTGTAGGCTCAGACCCCATTGCAGTCTGCATGTGTCGCTGGGGACTGCACAGAGAAACGACCTATAACCACATGGAACACGTTAATCTTTCTTTACATTGAAGGCATGGATCTAGGCGTCTCGAGCAGGGGCAAGGTTCACATGACTCATATTCACATCTTCAAATTGACACTTTTAGCAAAAGAGTCCAACAATAACAGTCTCTTCTGCAACCATTTCTGGAAAACACATTTTAGCAGAACTAAACCGTCCTTAAACACCTGTTTGTTGTCAGGCACTAAGCAGTACAGTGTGTCCATCGCCTTCACTCTGGCCCTGTTCTCACACCTGGTGAACCACATCAACATCCGTCTGCAGGCCGAGCTGGAGGAGACCGAGACCCGGGTGCCTCCTCTCCACACTGAGGGGTCAGGTCAGTGTCTCACCAATCCTCCTCCCTCCTGCTGTTCTGTAGAAGGAGGTGCTGTATCTCTGTTCTGTAGAAGGAGGAGCTGTATCTCTGTTCTGTAGAAGGAGGTTCTGTCTCTCTGTTCTGTAGAAGGAGGTGCTGTCTCTCTGTTCTGTAGAAGGAGGTGCTGTCTCTGTTCTGTAGAAGGAGGTGCTGTCTTTCTGTTCTGTAGAAGGAGGTGCTGTCTTTCTGTTCTGTAGAAGGAGGTGCTGTCTCTCTGTTCTGTAAAAGGAGGTGCTGTCTCTCTGTTCTGTAAAAGGAGGTGCTGTCTCTCTGTTTTGTAGAAAGAGGAGCTGTCTCTGTTCTGTAGAAGGAGGTGCTATGCTGTCTCTCTGTTCTGTAGGAGGAGCTGTATCTCTGTTCTGTAGAAGGAGGTGCTGTCTTTCTGTTCTGTAGAAGGAGGTGCTGTCTCTGTTCTGTAGAAGGAGGTGCTGTCTCTGTTCTGTAGAAGGAGGTGCTGTCTTTCTGTTCTGTAGAAGGAGGTGCTGTCTCTGTTCTGTAGAAGGAGGTGCTGTCTCTCTGTTCTGTAAAAGGAGGTGCTGTCTCTCTGTTCTGTAGAAGGAGGAGCTGTATCTCTGTTCTGTAGGAGAAGGAGGAACACATGTGACATAGATCAAACCTTTGGAGGGTTTCATCCTAGAGAATCCTTTGTTCTTATCTCAAACTATTGGCCATTTTGATTCATACTGCTCCTCATAGAACACTCTGTGCTGAATCTGTCTGGCCCATGACAGAGATAATACTGACATGCACTGACACAGTTCTTGTGCATCTTTACATTTCTCCTTTGTGAGATCTATAAAGTTGGTCTTGTGCTTCCGTGTCAAACGAAGTTGTCTTGTGTGTTTCAGAAGAGGCAGACTCTGTGCCTCTGGTCTCTGAGCTCCCAGAGAAGGCCCTTCATAACGGGGCCTTGGAGCCGGAGTCTGCGCAGAGTGACCCCCAGGGGCCCCCCACAGAGCAGCAAAAGCAAAAGAAGTACAGCCGTATGTCCAGATTGAGGCGCCGCCGCTGCACACGCACTCACACACGCACCCAGGAGGACAGCGACCTGAGCGAGGGCTTCGAGAGCGACGAAGAGGAGGAGGAGGAAGAGGCTGTCACAGGGTATGGGCTTACACAGAGGAGGAGGAGGCTGTCACAGGGTATGGGCTTACACAGAGGAGGAGAAGGCGGCTGTCACAGGGTATGGGCTTACACAGAGGAGGAGAAGGCGGCTGTCACAGGGTATGGGCTTACACAGAGGAGGAGAAGGCGGCTGTCACAGGGTATGGGCTTACACGGAGGAGGAGGCGGCTGTCACAGGGTATGGGCTTACACAGAGGAGTAGGAGGAGGCTGTCACAGGGTATGGGCTTACACAGAGGAGTAGGAGGAGGCTGTCACAGGGTATGGGCTTACACAGAGGAGTAGGAGGAGGCTGTCACAGGGTATGGGCTTACACAGAGGAGTAGGAGGAGTTTGTCACAGGGTATGGTCTTACACAGAGGAGGAGGCGGCTGTCACAGGGTATGGGCTTACACACACATGAAGAGGAGGGGAGCAGGAGCATGATCAGTGTCTTGTCTCCTGCAGCGCTCCCAGCCCGAAGCCCAGCAGCAGCCAGCAGCCTGTGGCCCCTGTGCTCAGACAGGAGCCCAGGAGAGGCCCCAGCTGGGACAGTGGCTCAGAGGAGGAGGACGCAGGCACCGCCTTCGATCTGGAGACTGACTCAGACATGAACAGCCAGGAGTCTCGCTCCGACCTGGAGGACATGGAGGAGGCGGTGGAGCATCAGGGTAGGTCCAAGCCCCGGTGATCCAATATCTTCTTCTGTTGGGAACGTTCACCTTTAAACTGCCACAGTCACTAGAAGAAAAATACCATCCTTTAGATTCTAAATCTAAATGACCCAGGGCTGGTCAAGTTAGGAACTAAAGAACATAACTGCAGAGTTCGCTTTCTCGTTATCACTTGTGCCTCACAGCAAGAATGTCCTGGGTTCCATTCTACCTCCAGACCTTTCTGTGTGCAGTTCCCTGTGTAGGTTTCCTCCAGGTGCTCCAGTTTCCCCTACCACTAAAAACCTGTATAGAGTGTCTGGGCCTCCTGTAGGCAACCTGCTCCATCTCTGTGGAGTCAGAGGCAGATCTAACAGTAAAGTGCTTTGTGACTCTGGTCTGTGATAGATGCTATATAAATAAACAGGACTTAGTTACTATTGCTTCTGTTGAGGTTTTAATCTCAGTGTGACGTCTCGTGCAGCCCAGGCTCCAGCAGTGTGCCCTGAAGAGCCCCTTAACATCCAAGAGCCTGCACCCCCCTCCAACGGGCCCCTACCACAGCCGGACCCCAGCATCAGCTCCAACCTGCAGGTACCTCCAGAGCCTCACCTTTAAAGCTGGGTTACCTTTTTCATATGTTGGAAGCCGTGTAAACGCTGAAAACAAATGACAGAAATAACGGAGCAAAACATTTCTGAAATGGGTACAATTTGTACAAGAATTTTAATCCCTCACTACTTAACAGCTCGTGTACCTTTACCCACATGGGGAAGTGTCAGCTCGTAGTTAGAATAAGGACGAATAAGTGCTTCATAAATACCACTTTCTTTAACCTTTTTATTGTGAATTATTTAGATTTTACTGCATAGTATGTAATATTTACATAATGTGTGACAATAGGGCACATGTACAAATCTTAACTCAACTCAACTGAAAACTTTTTCTTAGTTAAAAATACAATGTTTATACTTTGATTATCAAGCAGACTATCAGATTGTTTTGATATATATGAAATGTGACTCGTCTTGGCTCCATCTTATTCATTAATATGTAGATATTATTTCACTTTGTAAAACATGGAATGACAAAGTAAATGGTCTCATTATTTTTAATGGCCAAACATTTTGAAATATTAGTTTTCATATTGACTAATGTTTCTGAGGGTTTGAGGATCATAAAAGGACATGTGCTGTTTGTGTTGTGTTCTTTGACGTCTTCGACACTCGTCTCTCTTCACCTCTATATTGTGATAGTCTTTTTGATCCTGGATTCGCCTCCTCTCTGCAGGCCATGTCCTCCCAGCTGTTCCAGGCCAAACGCTGCTTCCGCCTGGCCCCCACTTTCAGCAACAAGCTGGTGAAGCCCCAGAGCACCCCGAGCCCCCCGAGCCCACCACCAGCTCCCCCCGCCACATCCACCACCTCCCCCCCTGCACAGGACATGGCCCCTCCCCCGGGGGAGGCGAGCGTACGCACAGCCAACGGAACCAGTGACACAGGTAACACATAGTCCTCACTCACCCACACACGGCATGCACCTCTTAATGCATGATGTTTTCAATGGGCATCACAATGTGGACATGAGGGAGAACGGCATTTTCCATCTGCACTTGGGTTTACAGACTATGTTCTTACACACCAGACTCATACTATGCACTGTGGGTGAAGTGTCTTGCAGCTGCAGCTGCCCCACACCTGGTGTTCTCAGAGGTCTCCCATCACAGTACAATCCAGGCCCTGTCCTTCTTAGCTCCAGAGGTGTGAGGATCTGGCTTTCACCTTGCCTGGCCTGCCAGACACTCCTCCTTTCTGTTCAAAAGAAGAACCCTCTGGACACCTCTTCCTAGCCTATCATTTCACGATTTTACCCACATCGGTCCAATCACGCACCGAGAGGCGGGACTTCCTTTCACCTAGAGGCGGAAGCCGTCGCCACACTCTACCAAAACATTGGAGATGGCGTGTGCGGCGAGTGATACTATGTTTTCTTCTGCTCTTTCGACTGTTTTAAGTAGTTTGGAAAATATAAATTCTCTCAAACCGGAGCAAGAAACAGCGTTGGAAGCGTTCCTCATGAAAAAGGACGTTTTCGCAATGCTTCCCACTGGATTTGGGAAGAGTTTAATCCAGTGTTTTTCAACCTTTTTTGAGCCAAGGCACACTTTTTTCACTGAAAAAATCTTGCGGCACACCTCCAGGAGAAAATGTAAAAATGTATACAGTACTAATGTAAAAATATATACTGTACATACTCTGTGTGATATATAAAGTATATCTTATCTTATCTTATAATGTATACAGTATACTCTGTAGCCTATATTCACAATATACAGTTATTCTCATCAAAATGCTTAAGTCCAGGCCTTGACTTTAAGCTTTATTTAATATTTCTCGATACAATTAACAAGAGTTTGGGAATAAAGTGGCACTAACTGTGTGGAAAAAAACTAAGAAAATCCACTCTCTGCCCAAATAGTCAAATAATAACTCACACAAAGAACATGCATTGTTAGTGCATGGGAAACATTTTGGTATCCGAGCTTTAAATTCAGGAGTTTTGGATGAGAGACACGGGAGGTCCTGAACGCGAGTCCATGGTTCTGTCCGGTCCGCATGTCTGTGGTTCTGTCCACTCGACTATGGTCTGCGCTCGGTACCCAGTTCAGAAGTGCGTTCGCGAGAGCTGTTGTACAAAAATGGTACATTTCATAGTTAAACCACTACAACGCCGCCACAGCTGCCCCGGGGCAGAGCGGAGGATGTTAATCCTGTTCAGAAACGGCATAATTCATTTTCAAAAACGTCTCTATCACTTTCACTTCTCACTCGCCACAAAGCTCTTGTCTTGCTCCCTCCCACATTTGTTGGTCGCATCCAATTTTACCTTTCTCGCCACAATGCTGACCTGTTACAGCCAGTGGTCGCATCCAATTTTTCAGTTTCAAAGTACTTAGCTATCTGCTGCCATCTACTGATTTGAAAAAGTATTACATGGTTACTCACAGTTCAAAACAAGTCACCGCTCGTCAACAGCGAATGCAGCTATTTTTAGACAAAGTAGACGAATTTCTCACGGCACACCAGACAATATCATACGGCACACTAGTGTGTGCCGGCACAGTGGTTGAAAAACACTGGTTTAATCTACCAGTTGTCTCCACTTGTTGCCAAAGAAATGAAACTTTTTTCAAATCCTGTGGTAGTCGTCGTTTCTCCTCTCGTGGCGTTTCACTCGAAGTAGATTGCGCTTGTGCTTCACCTTTTCGTGCTTCATCTTCTTGCTGTCGCCAAGTATTCAAAGACTTGATGTCCCGTTCCAAACGACAAACCACATTGAAACACACGTTGCACGCTCGTATTGACCGATTGGGATTTGGGGATAGGAACAAACTCAAATCCGCCACTCTTTCAACAAGTAGCTTGTCACTTCTGCTTGGAACAAACAACGGAATTGAGTTGCTAATAACTCCTCGTATCTTTAAGTTTTTGTTACAAAATCGACAGCAGTCGTTTACATTTGCACTAGCTGACATGCCGCCATCCCTTGTTTTGTGTTTACTGAAACGGCTTGGGTGCCGCTACTTGCTGCGTCATATCCTGTGTGCATCTAATTGGTTGATGCAGTCTGTCAACCACGCCCACCGGGAATTCGCTGAGATCAAGCTCGTTCCCAGACTATATGTCTTTGAAAAAGCATATCGTTTGAAAGCATATCGTTTGGCAGGCCAGGCAAGCTTTCACCTCCAGGTGGTGCCATTTTTTTTTATGCTAATGTAACATTCAGCATTTTACTTTTTATTAGAACAGAGTAAATAGTCCGAACCAAGCCGCTACTCCACCTTCTGACCCGTCCTGCTCCACCCAGAGGCTACTCCATCTCTGCTGCTGTGACCTGAAGGGCTGTTGCTGATTATTACTACTGTTAGCTTTTTAGAAGGATCAATTTTAGTATGTATTTTTGCTGCTACTGGACACCTGAATTTCTCCTGCAGGGATCAATAAAGTATTCATATCTATCTAGTGTACCCATCCAGAAGTAAATTAATTCGGGTCCTGTGTATCCTGTTGGGCCTTCTAGAGAGGAAGAGTACCTGAGCCTCTCTCCTCTTCCTCATCCTATGTTGGTCCTTGATGTCCATTCTTCTGAATTGAACCTGTATCTTGTCAAATGTCAATAGTGCCATTTTTAACGGTCGCCCAATGCACCTCTCTCTTGTAGACTTTGAATCAGACTCGGAGAGCAGCCAGCAGAACAGCCCCTCCCCCACCCCCGCTGAGAAGAGTCTTCTGGAGAAGATGCAGATCCTGAGCCGCCAGGGCCTGATCCCGGCCGTCAAGGTGTTCATGGACTGGCTCCGGACCAACACGGACATCATCGTCATGTGTGCCCAGGTCAGTCCCTCGCCGTCAGCTGAATACATGCAAGACCTTTATTATGTCATCTTATAATCAAGACTTCGAAGGTTCCTTTAACAAGACAAAAGGGTAAAGAAGCTTCCTAATTACCTCATGTTTTGATGGTGAACTTCCGCCTTCTTCAGCGGAGACGCACAGACACAAAGAGCACTTGGAAAACACAACATCATTGCAGCAATCAAACCACACAAAAAGCTCATACCTCATTCCCCCGAAAGACAGGATACAGCTGGAGGAAAAGTGCCATGTCTTATACGAAATCAGAGATACGGGAAGAGCTTTCAGGACCAGAGGAGAAGGAACATCAGAAGGAATGTGAAAAAGAAACAGCAGCGCGAGATCCACCAAGGACAAGGCAACACGGGAAAACCTCAAATCAGACCACTGCAGAAGAGAATTGTGTAATGGACCGTGGACAAATGCGTAAGTGGTAGGAACAGAAGAACATCAATGCAGAAGATGGAGACAATCAGGAAGGGGGGGCACGGACCAGTAAGGGGGACGAGGGGGGCCTTCACCTTGGCTCACATTTGGGACTCACGTCTTCAGAGACAACAGGGGGGTGTGGTCAGTCTGAAGGGGGTGGTCAGTCTGGCGGTTCTGTCAGACTGACCACATCCTGTAGCAGCTGATCAGAGACGCGTCACCATCAAGTGTGTCTCTGACGAAGGTGGTAGTCTCCCGCCAAAACATGTCAGAAGTAAACAGAACAAGCTTCTTTACACTGTCTTATTCAAATAACCTCTGGTGATTTTCCCCAGAGTGTGGTCCTGGGAAAACCTCATTCTGGTCCTCTGTCTGGTCTTCAGTCTGGTCCCTCAGTCTGGTCCCTCAGTCTGGTCCCTCAGTCTGGTCCCTCAGTCTGGTCCTCAGTCTGTGTCCTCAGTGTGGTCCCTCAGTCTGGTCCTCAGTTTGTGTCCTCAGTGTGGTCCCTCAGTGTGGTCCCTCAGTGTGGTCCCTCAGTGTGGTCCCTCAGTCTGGTCCCTCAGTCTGGTCCCTCAGTCTGGTCCTCAGTGTGGTCCTCAGTGTGGTCCCTCAGTGTGGTCCCTCAGTGTGGTCCCTCAGTCTGGTCCCTCAGTCTGGTCCCTCAGTCTGGTCCCTCAGTCTGGTCCTCAGTCTGTGTCCTCAGTGTGGTCCCTCAGTCTGGTCCCTCAGTCTGGTCCCTCAGTCTGTGTCTTGTGTGCAGAGCTCCCAGAGTCTGTGGAACCGTCTGTCTGTGCTGCTGAACCTGCTCCCAGACGCCTCCAAACTCACGGACTCTGGTCAGTGCTTTTGACACCTCTCTACACTTCTTTTTTTAACACTCTACGCTCGCTGGTTTCAACAGAAGGGAGCACATCACCTCTGTTTTAGCGTCCCTCCACTGGCTCCCTCTGAGTTTTAGAATTGATTTTTAAGATTTTGCTGTTTTCCTTTAACGCTCATTTATGTCTTCCACCAAGCTATATTTTTTAACTTTTAGCCCCTTACGAGCCCCCCCGCAGTCTCAGATACTCGGGCAGCTACCTGTTGACTGTTCCAAGGTCGAGGCTCCGGACAAAAGGGGACCGAGCCTTCTCTGTCCGGGCTCCTTGACTTTAGAACGACCTGCCCGAGGAGATAAGGCTCGCACCATCAGTATCCTCTTTTAAATAACTTTAAAGTCAGTTTTAAACTTAACGTTGTATTTTTCTGTCTGCTTTTACTTTGTTTTGTCTGTCCTCTCGTGTTCCTCTGTGTGCTTTATCTTCCTAAGTCTGTTAATTATTTTGACTTTGTAATTTTTCATACTGTTTTTATTGATCATTATGCTGACTGTGCAGCGCTTTGTAAACACTGTTTTTGAAAAGTGCAATACAAATAAAAAATATTACTGTTTAAAAGATCTAGACCCTGTTACAAACTACATTCTCATCTGACACTACAGAGACTGAAACACTGAACACAACTGAGGTTGGCTTTTCATGAGCTGATTTAGGATAATGTTGAACTTTCTCAGAAGCACTAGTGTGTGTATAACCTTGTGGTACTACAGTCTATTATAGTCCAATAAACAAAATGCATTACAATACAATGCTCATTGAAGTGAGTTTGAATATCACCTTCATAGACAATACCACTAACCACGCTCCAACAGTTCCAGAGTATATATATTCCACATGTGTGCCACTTTGACCGTAGCTCTGTGTGTGCAGAGCTGGGCCTCAGTGCGGATCTGCTGCAGTGGCTCAGTGTGTGTGAACAGCCTGAGCTGGTGCAGACGCTGCTGCTGCCAGAGGACCGGGCCCTGCGCCTGCTCCCTGCTCTGGCCTCCGCTCACAGGAAGATGGACTGGAGCCAGCGCGGGGCCCAGCGTGGAGCCCCCCTTGGACCCCTGCAGGAGGTACATTCTCACTACACTGTAGAGTCGCACTGACAACGTTTCATGGATAAAGAATTACAACCGTGTTTATTTTGACATGGAGTTTGGTCTCAAACTCTGTGTCTGTGGGCCGCATGAGCTGAAGTCTGTGTGAAGCTGGGCCGCATTAAGGGTCCTGTTTATCACGTGTTTGTGTGTGCAGAGTATATCAACATCGGAGCTAATTAAGCTATGGTCACGCAAAATTAAACAATGAAGCTGCACACACTATTTGCTTTACTGTTATTGAACATGAGTTTGATATAATTCAAAATATTTCTATGAACAAACTGAGACTGAAACAAAACTGGAGAAAAATTAATGAGGCTTTGTTTTGTTGACTGGGTTTGATCAGAATCAGAATCAGAATCAGAATCATTTTTATTGCCACGTGAGTAACAAAGTTATCACTTGGAAATTGTCTTGGCAGAGGCGTGCCACTTCGCCATTTGCGGCGCTGTGTAATAAAGTTTACTTTGAGTTATTGGTTATTACCTTCAGGGTTCAGTGTTTATGGTCAAATAAATGCTGTATAATGTTCACTAGGGACAGACGATTCCTTTTCGCGGGGCCACAAATAGCCTTCTCCTGTGTGTTGTTCCTGACCAGTGGGGGCGGGTCCCAGCTCAAAAGTGGCCAAAATGACGTGCGCTGACATGCTGCAATACCACCCCGGGCCGATGGGGGTGGACCCAGAAGAATTAGCCAATGCTAACATATAGCGTTGGCAGACCTCTCGAAAACACCTTTACAGGATGGACCAAAAGTCGGCTCTTGGCCCAAAGCTCCGTTCCACATGTGTGTCAATGCTGAGGGGGGTGAATTGTTTTGGACCAGTCTAGTTTACTTTAGTTTAATTTTTTAAGTGTCTCGTTCAAATGAATGGAGCTGCGCCGGCTGACTCATGCGCAGATGCGTTTTTCCACCATTTTCTTGTAGGCGGACCACTCGCGGCCCTTTTGGATTGCTCCAGTAGAGCTAATTTTTGGGCCCATTAGTTAGAACGGCGGAGATAGGTGTGACTCTGTCCGTTAATATATACAGTCTATGTTCCTGACGCTTTGTGTTGTGTGACAGTGTGCGGTGCGTGTGTGCTGCATCCGGAGCTTCGGACACTTCCTGACCAGACTCCAGGCCGACATCCTGCACTTCAACCCTGAGGCCGGGATCTTCACCAGCATCAGTCAATCTGAGCAGGACGGCCCTCTGCAGCAGGCACAGGCACACTTCAGAATGGTCAGATTTAGACACACACATACTATACACTCACACACACATTACACACACTACACACATACTACACAAACACACACAGAAACTACACTCGCACATACTACACACACATACCACACACACACACACATACTACGCACACATACTACATACACACACTACTAAGCCTCTGTAGCAGCGAGAAGCTTTTACAGTTGAGTTCAATTGGACACATTATTATTGGTGAACATCAGTAATTTCATTTCAATTGTAAACAACTTAAACCATAATTTAATTTGAATAATCTTTGATATTTTCATGGGCCATATCCACCATATTGAAGCCTTCACAGCAAAGTCTCCACTATTGCCAGGAAAATGCACTGATGACAAATGTCTAAAATACATCGTTAGGAAATAAGTCATTGGTGGAATATTTGTATTATGCCTGTCACAATAATGAGACGATATGTGAGTAGTATATAACCACAAAGGTCTAACGTGTGTGTGCGTGCGTGACTCCATCTGTGTGTGTGTGTGTACAGGCTGAAGAGGAGGCTCGCAGGAACCGCCTGATGAGGGACATGGCTCAGCTCCGGCTGCAGGTCTGTGTCACTCTTTCACTCTGTTCCGCTCTCTTTCACTCTGTTCCGCTCTGACGCCTCATGATCCGGTTCCACACTGAGCCGCTGAACCCGCTCAGTCAAACCCACAGGTTCTGGTCGTGTTCGTGGGTTCAGCTGCAGTGGGAAAGCCACAAGGAGGCTCTGGTTCTTTAACATCAACACCACAGCAATGGAAATGTGTTCAATTCAATATATTTGTGCATCGCCCTAAATCACTACCGTAGTTATCGCAGAGGACTTTACAAAGCTGCCAGAGCGCCAACACAGATCAGAGAATCAAACAGTTCAAACACAGGATATGCAATGTTAACAAACACGTAGAGCCATTGGTCCATAAAGGGCAGGTGACAATGTTCATAAATGTTGAGTGTCTCTAGACCCTCCCACATCAGGAAGTTCAGCAGATAACAAACAGTTGGAGAAGCTCATTAAAAAGCAGGCTCTGTAGTGGGGTGTCGATAAGCTCACATCGTCAGGACACATCCCCTCATTTCTATTAGTATTTGTATTTGTCATATTTGATAGTAACACCTGATATGAAGTGCATCTTGTGTTTGTGTGACAGCTGGAAGTGTCTCAGCTGGAGGGCAGTCTGCAGCAGCCCAAAGCCCAGTCGTCCATGTCTCCGTACCTGGTCCCAGACGCCGCTGCCCTCTGTCACCACCTGCCCCTCCTCCGACAGCTGGCCCACAGCGGCTGCTTCATCATCATCATCCCCAGGACAGGTCAGTCCTCTATCTTTACTCTTTATCTTGTCTTTCATACACTCTAGAGTTGTTCCTGATTCCTGGTTGTTGGTCATTAATATGATCTCACTGTCTCCTGATCATCACAAATATCTGCTGATTGCTGACTTGATCGGCAGTCTGAGCGAAGCAAACCAAAGTGATTGAATGTCATGTCCCTTGTTGCAGTGATTGACAGCCTGGACAGACTGAAGAAGGACACGCCCTGGGCCAGAGACGCCATCCGCTTTCTGGAGACTGAGTTCCGGAAAGGCAACAGGTCTGACAGAGAACAAAGGACACACCCCTTTTCTCATGTTTAGTTTTCATCTTTGATAAAACCATGATAGAATATAATGCCCACCCAGATCTACGAGGGAAAGGAAGCCTCTGAGCCTTAATGTCCCACTAGAGACACCATCCATTATTCTTCTGCCTTTGTTTCTCAGGAAGAAAAAAAAAATCAACGTATTTAAATGATGTTCATGGGGTGGGAGTCTCCATACTTTTGCTTCTCTCTCACTCCATGTCAAGCTGACAAATTATGAATGGAAATAAGTGTGTAAATACATTGACATTGTAAATATAGGAACACATGGTGAAACTATGGCAAATACTGTTGCTTTATTGTATTTCGATTTTTAAATAAAAAACTAACAAAAAATCTATCTGACAATCCCAGAATGTCCTTTGTTGTTAGTGTTTGGACCTTATAGATTATTATTCACAGGTACATCCGCTATCAGAAAGAGGTGGGCCGAAGCTTTGAGCGGGACAAAGTCAAACATTTGGACATAGAAGCATGGTAAGAACAGCACACACACAGCCTCCTCTCTGTCTCCTCTGTCTCCTCTCTGTCTCTTCTCTGTCACCTCTTTTATCTCCTCACTAACACTGTCTTCTCAGGCACCTGTACAAGATGGTGGACAGCTGCAGACAGCTCGCCGTGTCCCAGAGCGCTGGGGAGGAGGACTCTGTCGGCATGGTAACCATCCTCACAGGACGAGAGGTGGAGGAGATGTGTGCCCAGTCTGCTGTCGTAAAGGTGAGGCCGAGGAAGGCTGCAGTCTCCTCACCAGGCGCTGACTTGTGCGTTCTCGTTTCTCCCTCAGTCTGCGATCCAGTACGCGGCGTCCGCTGGCATGGAGGCGAAGCACATCCGCTCCTTCTACCAGCAGTGGAAGGAGATGGGTTGAGGGTCCTGGGACGTCCCACTCGCCCCGATCTCTCTCTCCCCACAGATTCTGCATCACCCATTCACCAGGACGACGACGGGCTTTTCACGGCTCGCGCTCATTCTAGAGGCGCCACGCTGGTGCGACTGTCCCCCCAGGAGCAGGAGCAGGGAGGGACTTACAAGCGGCCGGGTAGAGAGACTGGCCCCCTATACACACAACTCATGTACACACACACAGAAACACAGGACGACAACACATGTACACACACACACACACACAGAAGGCAAGAGGCAGAGGCTGCAGTGGCCCCTTCTCCTTGTGTTGTGGCTTCTTTGGAAAGGTCTGGACGCTTTTGGGGAAGAAATGTATTTGAAGTGATTTTGTGTCAAATATAGTAAATTTACAATAGGTACTTTTAAAATAAACACAGGTTTCAGTCACGTACTGTGTGACTGGTGGCAGGAGACTGTTTGGTGTCACATGATTATTAGTCCAATGATTAAATAAGTTCAGTTTCCAATCACTGCTCAGATTGGCGTTTTAAAACTTGCAATTCGGTCTAAGTAAAGAGGCAGTACATCATATGAAATGTAACTGCTGAACTGATGAAAGATTGTTTACCAGCTCTTAGCAGATCTCGAGACCTGCACAGGATCAGAGTCTGGACCATATGATGTGAACTGCTCCATTTTCTTGGTATTCCCCACATTTTGGAACAAATCTAAGCTGTCTTTGGGGCCATCACCTGTGACTGTCAGTTGGATTCTTCCGAATGGAAAATGAACAAGAGATGTACTTGTGATTGTTATGTTATAAAAGAATTAAGCAGACTCTTGTGTTTTCCATTAGTTTAAGCCCGAACAGTCCCTGTGCTAACTCTACTTTGCAGCGAAAAAGGAAATAGCCTTGTGTTCTGTCTGGATTTTATTTTTCTACTGAAGGTGGTTTGTTACATGTACCATGCATGTAGGGGGCGCCATTGGCTGAATGTTTCGGGGTCTATAATTTGAAGTCACTTCTTTGATGAACTGTATTTATGGAGGAGTGTGAAGGATTTGTAAATGGCCAGTGGCAAAGACATGATTTGATTGAATAAAGTTGGACCTGGTGCATTTTGTTTTTGTTCATCTGTGTTCTACAAAACTGCGGTCCTGATTACTTTTTAACATTTATTTATTATTATTTTTTAACAAGAAATGTTAAAACAGAACAGACTATATTATTAATGCCTAATATTTATCATGCAGTAAATTGCATATGTTTTGAGTATCTATAGAATGTCTGCCCTTTGTTTGACTCTTATCTATAGGTTATTTCTATGTCATGTGTATCACACAGATCTATAAGAGTTCTACCTGTAACTCCATTCATTCGAATATAAAATTCTAATTTAGCCATTTACAAGCGATGACTTGTGTTATCACAGACCCCTGGTTATTATTGACTCAAAACTGACATTTAAACATTTAACTTGTATTACTCTGGTGGTGCGCTTAATCTAAAGACCGCGAAAAGGCGTCAGCTCTCGTTCATCGAATAGATCCATGCATAAGCTCTATATACAGTCTCTGATGAGCTCACAGCTCGCTAACCCCGCCCCGCAGCGCTGCACACTCGCCCATCTCCAACGCCCTCGCTGCTGGTTGGTCGCTGAGGCGCAGACGCGTGGTTTGAATCCTCTGCACAGTCACTCTCCGGACTCGCACTTCTGATACTTTAAACTTTAAACGTGTTTTTGGGATTCAGGCGGTAAGTAACTTTTACTCTCGATCTGCTTCACGTGTTTGCGTCACGGTTTACGTGTGTTTTGCGTCACGGTTTACGTGTGTTTTGCGAGACGGACTCAAACCCCTGCGTTGTTACTGCTCCAAGTCAGTGTTCTGTCGTCTTTAACCTGTCTACAGTTCAGGTTAAAGTGTGTTAAAGTGTGCTTTTACATGTGTGCATTCAGGACGAGAGGGAATTGGCTTAGAAGCATGGCTATCTCATTTAAAGCTGTATTATTGTGAGATTTCATAACACTTTTAAGCAACTTTTGTTAAAGTTAAACTCATCATTCTATCTCTCTACAATAACATGGATCTATTATAACCATGGATCTACAATAACATGGATCTACAATAACATGGATCTATAATAACCATGGATCTATAATAACATTTACTACTGTCCTGGACCACATGTCTTCCTTTACTCCAGGAGCTGACCAATTAACACGACATATGATAATAAAAGTGAATTCTGCAGTGTCCCTTCACACTGTCACTTGGCCAAAGTATCATGAGCTCAGTTTAAACACCTGTGCTTTATCCAAGTTATAAAGACATGTTTGAGTCTTTAAGTAGCAATATGGAAGAATTTCATGCCAAGTCATTAAAGGGCCCTAATCTGTCAAAAGGCATTAATAAAACATGCTCTTTTCCAATACCTCTTTAACTGATCACAGTAGTTCAGAGATATTTGGATTTCAAAATAAGTTTTACAGCCCCTAAATCTTGTTATTGTTTTCATTTCGATGTCCCGCCCTCCACCGTTTTACCAATCAAAGTCTGTGATCCGGGTTGCCAGAACTCACCGCGTCGAGCTAATCTTACTGGTAAAGTACCATGTGGCGCAGAACTAAAAAATGTCTTGTTATGATTCTCAAATCATTAACGACAAAACAAGGAATAAAATAAGGATTTCTATCTTTTTGAAAAAGGTGTTGGTTATAGATTTGTTGTTGACAAAACTCTTGTCTATTCAGTTATTATGGTCCCAGCTGGATTCGTCTGCATATCTGGCAACCTGAGTCAGGAAGAGTTCCACTTTTGGTTCCAGTTCCATATTTACTGTACAACAGCCTGTGATCTGTCTCTCTCATAAACATCTGTTATGAAAAGTGAAAAACAAGAAAATCCCAAACACTGGTCTCTGTGCTTTGACTTAAACCAGTTTCTTTCCAGAACATGAGGCATGACAAATCTGGAGTCCGGAAAGGGACCAACCCTCAGGAGAGGTCCATCAGTCGCCGCAAAGGGACCACCCCCCTGAAGAGGCCTGCTCTGCCAGCTCCATCCACCCCCCAGCGACGCAGGGCCTCAGGTCAACGTAAGCATCATGCTGTGGCCCAGTCCCAGTCCTCAATCCAACACAAACTTCCAAATGTTGCTTCCAAAGGGTTTGGGTGGTTAGAGTGGTTAGAGTGGTTAGAGTGGTTAGGGTGGTTAGGGTCAGGGTGGTTAGAGTGGTTTGGGTGGTTAGAGTGGTTAGGGTGGTTAGGGTCAGGGTGGTTAGGGTGGTTAGAGTGGTTGGGGTGGTTAGAGTGGTTAGGGTGGTTAGGGTGGTTAGAGTGGTTAGAGTGGTTAGGGTGGTTAGGGTGGTTAGGGTGGTTAGAGTGGTTAGAGTGGTTGGGGTGGTTAGGGTGGTTAGAGTGGTTGGGGTGGCTAGAGTGGTTAGGGTGGTTAGAGTGGTTGGGGTGGTTAGAGTGGTTAGGGTGGTTAGAGTGGTTGGGGTGGTTAGGGTGGTTAGAGTGGTTGGGGTGGCTAGAGTGGTTAGGGTGGTTTGGGTGGCTAGAGTGGTTAGGGTGGTTTGGGTGGTTAGAGTGGTTAGGGTGGTGTGGGTGGTTAGAATGGTTAGGGTGGTTAGAGTGGTTAGGGTGGTTAGAGTGGTTAGGGTGGTTAGAGTGGTTAGAGTGGTTAGGGTGGTTAGAGTGGTTAGGGTGGTTAGAGTGGTTAGGGTGGTTAGGGTGGTTAGAGTGGTTAGGGTGGTTAGAGTGGTTAGAGTGGTTAGGGTGGTGTGGGTGGTTAGAGTGGTTAGGGTGGTTAGGGTGGTTAGGGTGGTTAGAGTGGTTAGGGTGGTTAGAGTGGTTAGGGTGGTTAGAGTGGTGTGGGTGGTTAGAGTGGTTAGGGTGGTTAGAGTGGTTAGAGTGGTTAGGGTGGTTAGAGTGGTTAGGGTGGTTAGGGTGGTTAGAATGGTTAGGGTGGTTAGAGTGGTTGGGGTGGTGTGGGTGGTTAGAATGGTTAGGGTGGTTAGAGTGGTTAGAGTGGTTAGAGTGGTTAGGGTGGTTAGGGTGGTTAGAGTGGTTAGGGTGGTTAGAGTGGTTAGAGTGGTGTGGGTGGTTAGAGTGGTTGGGGTGGTGTGGGTGGTTAGAATGGTTAGGGTGGTTAGAGTGGTTAGAGTGGTTAGAGTGGTTAGAGTGGTTAGGGTGGTTAGGGTGGTTAGAGTGGTGTGGGTGGTTAGAGTGGTTAGGGTGGTTAGAGTGGTGTGGGTGGTTAGAGTGGTGGTTAGAGTGGTTAGAGTGGTTAGAGTGGTTAGGGTGGTTAGGGTGGTTAGAGTGGTTAGGGTGGTGTGGGTGGTTAGAGTGGTTAGAGTGGTTAGAGTGGTTAGGGTGGTTAGAGTGGTGTGGGTGGTTAGAGTGGTTAGAGTGGTTAGAGTGGTTAGAGTGGTTAGAGTGGTTAGGGTGGTTAGGGTGGTTAGAGTGGTTAGGGTGGTGTGGGTGGTTAGGGTGGTTAGAGTGGTGTGGGTGGTTAGAGTGGTTAGGGTGGTGTGGGTGGTTAGAGTGGTTAGGGAGTGGGAAGTATGGCATGTGAATAAGTTCAGTCCATAATTATAAAACTGTTAGTCAGAGGATTCCACAACAACATTACATTTGTAAATAAATACTCACGAATCAGACAATTATTCATAGATAAAATAATCAATAAATGTTTTGTTTTAAAATGTAAGATAAGAAATGTTACTGATCTCCCAATGGAGAAATGTACAAGTCTCATTTGGCACAGATAGAATCACTCAGGGGGTAACAGACAGGAAGTGGCAACATGTTAAAAAGGTTCAAATATAGAGAAAAAACGAGAGATAAAAAAAGTTTCCAATTAGTTTTTATTTTCTGCCGTTACTTAAAATGCAGTTATTTTTTATCATGATTCTGATTCTACATAAATGATCAAATATTCACATTTGTGGAGTTTTATTTTGTATTTTTTCAGACCAAATAAAGCCTTTGAGTCTGTTGTGTATTAGTTTCATTGTAAGTTGAGTTGTTGAAGTAATAACATAATAACATTTCTCTGATGTAAATGTGTGTCAGCAGCAGCGACCCCTGCTGGCAGCCCTCGCAAGAAGAGGAGGTTTCGTCCTGGAACCAAAGCTCTGAAAGAAATCCGAAAGTATCAGAAGTCGACGGAGCTGCTGCTGAGGAAGGCGTCGTTCGCTCGACTGGTGAGAGCTGTGTGTTCTCTACGGGAGGCGGCCATTTTGGATCAAACCCAGATTAAAGTGCTGCTTCTAACGGCACTTTTACTTTGATTCTGACCCTTGGATGTTAACAAAGTCAGTTTTATTCTACCCAACATTCAGATCTGGTCAAATATGTATAACTTAAAGGCCCTGTGAAAATTTTTACTTAAATGGGCTCAAAATGTAGCTTTGTTTTAGGCACAGTTAGTATTTTATGATTGTCTCTGCTCACTGTACAAAAGCCGTCAGGACATTCTTCTGTTCTAGTTTGTCTGTGCATGGAACTGGCCAAATAAATGTGCCAAACTGAACCCTTTAGGCGCCAGAGGTTTGCTCCTAAAAGCTCGATTTTTGACGTCTTCTTTTCAAAAAGTCATAACCATAAAGTTCTAAAGGGATAAGAGATAGAGACTTTCTGTAAATGAGATACAATTGAAATGTACCCATGTAGTTTGCATGTTATGACGTCATCAACACACAGAACTCACACTGCACCAAACTCCACACGTCACTACGATGTTAGAATTTTCCAAGAATACAAACAAAGAGAAGGCCTTCAGCTGCTGAAACTGGTTTATGGCAATGGACACCAGGGGGCAGCGGAGGCTCGTTATCTGTGCAGCTGGTTTATAGGGCCCGAGTCTCCTCTTCTCTCCAGTCTCCAACAAGAGGCTGATGTGCCGCTCAGAGACATGCTTTATAGACAGAGGATTCTTTATTGATCCCCGCAGGAGAAATTCAGGTGTCGAGCTGCAGCAAAAACACATCCATCCACACAAACAAAACAAATACATTGATCATTCTAAACCGGTAACAATAGTAACAAGAGTATGTAGCGCTAAGTGTAAATACTCCAAATGGCATTTCAACTTTAAAACGTAAGTGTTTAATGCTGTTTACGCTTATTGGGGACAAGAAATATGTCTCATAAAGAGATCTGAAAACTGCAAGAATATGAGGTGATGCCCGGGCGTCTGCAGAGGAGATGGACTTTATTGATCTCACACTGGAGAGATGTACATGTCACTTTGGCACAGATAGAATCGCTCAGATTGTGCAGAAGACAGAAGTGTGCAACACGTTAAAGGTCAAAAATACAGTCTGTGCAAGATATAATTATGTACAAAAGTGGCAATTAAAGAAAGAGTGTGTGCAGGTTTTTCAGTCCTGGTGCGTTAGTGTCTTAAAGTGACTTATTGTACAGTCTGACAGCAGTGGGGATAAATATGTCCGAGTCGCTCCCCACAGCAGTTGTTCTTCTCGGTGCAGACGCAGGAGACCCTCAGTGAGACGAGCCGCAGTCCGTTTACTATGTTGGTGAATTCAACGGCTTTGTAAAGTCCTCGGAGATAACCACTGTTGTGATTTAAGGCGACACAAGAATGAATCGAATGTAAATAATGACTTTGATCACATTTGCTGTGTTTGTTCAGGTGCGGGAGATCTGCCAGGCCTACACTCATCAGTCCTTCAGGTGGCAGATCCATGCACTGTTGGCCCTGCAGGAGGTGAGCAGCCAATCACAGCCCAGGACACTGACACACACAGCCAATCACAGACAGGGCTGAGTCTGGTTCTTCACCGGTTCCGTTTCTTTTTCCACTGGAGAAGAGAGTGCTGGTTACTAGGGCTGCACGACGATCGGAAAAATATTGTGATTGCGATATTGGTTCATGCAATATCCATATAGAAAAGATGCGCAGTCATTTTTAATTTGACTTTTTTCTATATTAAAGACAACAAAACAGGCAGACACATCAACATTCAACAAGAACAACAAACAAAGTATATAAATATATGCATTTGAAGGTCATTAATGTTGTGCTTGTTCTTTGTCATATCGCAATATTATGGTTATCGAAATACTAATCACTCATATCGAATATCGCACTAAATTTCCAATATCGTGCAGCCCTACTGATTACCATAGTAACACACTGTTTACTGTTGGTAGTAAGCATTTGGTCTTTAGCGTTGGCCTTTGAACAAACTGTTTTAAAAATTGATACAAACCAGTTTCGGCTCTTATTAAAGGTGAGGTAAAAACTTATATTATAAACAGTGATGGGAATAACGGCGTTACTAGTAACGGCGTTACTAACGCCGTTACTTTTTTCAGTAACGAGTAATCTAACTAATTACTTTGACAGTAACTATAACGCCGTTATCATTTCCGACATCCCGTTACTGCGCGTTACTCAAGACGCACAATGAACGTGTTGTCATGAGAGAAGGGAGGATGAGAAAACCTCTCAGCAATTATTGGCTGATGTAAATCATATTTCCTTTACAATCTACATGTCTACAGTTGAGAGGATGGCTCATAAATTGTGTTTTTGAAACAAATATGGGTCTTAATCGCGCTCAACCACGGCTTGTATCACCGTGAGGTCAGCCACAGAGGAGCGCATGTGAGCGCAGAAGTCGGCTGCATACAATTCCATCGATAAGCTCCTTGCTCTTCCTGGTTTATCTGCTAAGGACAGCAACAGGTTTGGCTAACATACATATAACACATTTTTACATAATCTAAAATGCACATAGGGTAATTTTTCAATTACTATAGGAATGATAAGAAAGAGAGAGGTGAAGTGTAAGACGGTTGATTTTAGAAATTGGATGCAGCCGGCTGCAGCAAAACAGAGGAGTTTACGGAGGACACACGCGTTTTGTTTTACTTTTTAAAACTCATTGGACTCATTTCCAAATGGAGGATTACATATCTACGCTCAAACCATTCACTGGATTTAAACAAGGAACTGGTCTGAACCGAAGTGGACTGTGCAGGTCATTTATAAGGTATAGCTATAAGGTAAGACCCATAACTCATAGTTTTGCGTTTTGTATGAACAAACAATGCGGGCATAAAACATATTTTGCTGTAGCCAAACAAATTGTCCACTTGATTTATATGATGTATATGTTCATCTGATTGGACTGAAGTCAGTGCTTCACCGGTGTTTCCACATTCACACTTTACAGCACAGACAGAGATGAAGAGTGAACAGGACTTCAGCAGCAAAACAGCCTTTTCTAGATGGAAATATTGGCACTGTTAAAGGTAAAAATGCGCACGTCGGGTGCACATTATGTTCCAGAACAAAACGAAAAAGTAACGCAATAGTTACTTTTACTGGTAACTAGTTACTTTTATAGTGGAGTAACTCCGTTAGTAACTCAGTTACTTTTTGGGAGAAGTAACTAGTAACTATAACTAATTACTTTTTCAAATTAACGTGCCCAACACTGATTATAAAATACATACTTTTAATAAATCTGGGGCAATTTCTCTGAATTCTATTGGTTTGAATGAGATCAAAATGACTGCTCTGGGAGTTCTAGTAGTTTCATAGTTGAGTCCTACTGTCTAGATTGTGTTAATGACATCAGCTCTGTGCAGCATCAATGTTTCGTTACCGTTTGATCCTGAACTGACATCAGATGGTGCAGCTGTACACTTACCCTGTGTTTTACCCTGTGTTTTACCCTGTGTTTTACCCTGTGTTTTACCCTGTGTTTTACCCTGTGTTTTACCCTGTGTTTTACCTTGTGTTTTACCCTGTGTTTTACCCTGTGTTTTACCCTGTGTTTTACCCTGTGTTTTACCCTGTGATTGTCTCTAGGGGGCAGAAGCGTTCCTCGTCATGATGCTGTCGGATGCTAACCTATGTGCAATCCACGCCAAACGAGTCACACTGTTCAACCGAGACATTCAGCTCGCTCGCCGACTCCGAGGAGTGGACCGTCTCTGAGGCCCCGCCCACAGGTGAGACCCCCGAGGCCCCGCCCACAAGTGAGGCCCTGTTGGTTTAAAGGAGACAGGACCTGCAACATATACTGTAATCAGCTTCTGTCCATGTTCTGGTATAATATAACATGATTGTCGTTCCCATGATTCATCCTCTGTCTGCTGTAAAGTCTGGTGTGTTTCTGATGATGATGATGATGAAGAGCAGACAGTGATACTTGTTTCCTCCAGGTCCATGTTCAGACGGAGGAGGCGGCGTCTGAAGGTTCTGAAGCGACAGACTGTACATTTGTTTTACTGTTCATGGATTTTTTTACTTAAATAATGTTTTTAAATTTTATTTTTCTCATGTTTATAATGTTTGTAAATAAAGTTTTTGACACATGGTTTCTCCACTGTTACATGTTATTACATTTCTCTACAGTCTCAAAGTTATTTGTGTGCATTTAGTCACTTGAGCCTGATGAGATGTGTGACGTACTGGGAGGATTGTGCTTTTATAAATGTATATAACTGAATTATTCAAGGTTTGTGCTAAATATTATGGGACCAGAGCAGTTAGACCAGTGGAAAGGGATTGTGTGCCCCCTAGTGGACATCAGACTGTAGTGTCAGTGCATCCTCCACTGAGTCTGTTTTTATCAAGAAAACATCCACAGCATTGGTTTGACCATAAACACTGAACGTAATAAGCAATAATTAAATGAAAACTTTATTAAACCCAGTCTACAACACAAAGACGTGTTGCTTTTGTCCTGTTTTGGACTTAGAACTATATTACAGTTTTTCTCTATTGCCTAAACACATTTCACGATACTGCCCTCCCTTTTCTCAAAACTCTAAACACAAACCTCTTTTCTAAAGCTACGTACACACAACCTCAGTCTCTCTTCAAAACCGACCCATCACTAAAACAGTGACTTGTATTCTCAAAAGCAAACTTTGACACCAAAATACCTCTCATGGTCTGCAAAAAGGTGAACACTATGAGCATCATTAACCACATCACCAAAACATTTGAAAACACAATTTTCAGAATGTGAGACTGTTCTTTTTACAGTTTCACAACTGCCAGGATGCATTTGAGCAACATTTTTTTAATTCTTAAATGTTTTGGGCATTTACGATCTGTGCGTTTCATGAGAATAGTTACATAAAGTAGAAAATGCAGTTATATCACAACTCAATGCAAACACGAGTGACTCCAGGATCCATGACACACATGACACCACATGCTCTGGTGCCACAGCGGACTCATTCCCATGTGACCGGCGCTGACGGGACAAGTGCGGATCTTTGGACAACCTGTGGACGTGATAAATACAGCTGAACTATGTGAGCCTCTGGAAGTGTCCCCGTGTCTCCTGTAGCCCTGAAACTACAACTCACTAAATTAAAGCTGGGGTACCTAAATTTCTCCCTCCTTGGCCTGCTCTTCTCCATCCTTGGCCTGCTCCTCTCCCTTTTTGACCTACTCCTCTCCCTCTTTGACCTGCTCCTCTCCCTCTTTGACCTACTCCTCTCCCTCTTTGACCTGCTCCTCTCCCTCTTTGGCCTGCTCCTCTCCCTCTTTGACCTGCTTCTCTCCCTCCTTGGTCTGCACTAGGGTTTAATCCCGGGACACGGGATTCCCAGGAAATCTGATAAAAACTATTTCCCGATTCCCGGGAAATGTTATGAAGGGAAATTAATAGTTACCTAATGTAATTTAAGTTCTACGAATAGGTGCGTAATCCCTTAGGACTTCGCTAGTGGGATATCACTCGTAACCCCCAGGTCACACGCCAGAGAGATCAAAATAATTTGCTCCAATCACCAGCCACCCTCCTCTATAAAGGCCCCTGCCCAAGGCCGCACCCCCTCTTGAACTCTGCCAAGCCGGGCTGGCCTGATGGGCTCGTAGCTAAGGGACTACGCACCTATTCGTAGAACTTAAGTTACATTAGGTAACTATTAATTCTACGTCATGGTGCTACGTCCCTTAGGACTTCGCTAGTGGGACACAACGCGGAGGCCGTAGGAACATGTACTCCCAGCAGGCCAGCGAAGGGTGATTGGAGTTCCGCCCGAGCAAGACCCTCACACAGTGAGAGGACTCAGGGCAGAAGAAGCAAATGCGTGTTACAGGGCCACTCCTACCAAGGACGCCCCCACGTAACACAGACCGTAGGTCACCCGTAGTCCCAGGACGCCTCTCCCAAGAGCTCCTGACGTGGACTACCTGACCGACCAAAACACACATATAAGTACCGCACCTGTAGGACGCCTCTCCCAAGAGCTCCTGAACCAGGGCGGAAAGTCAACCGAAGGCCCCCTCAGAGGAGGGACCTAACGGTCTAACTCAGTCCGCTGCACTCAGCACGGAATGGGCCACCGACCGGTCCGACACATCCAAAAGATAAGACCGGACGAAAGAAGAGGACGACGCCCAAGAAGCCGCACGGCAGACGTCCTCGACCGACGCCCCCCTGAGGAGGGCCGTAGAGGCCGCCACCCCACGCGTGGAATGCGACCTGAAGCCCACCGGGGGGGCCAGACCCTGCGTCTGATACGCCCGCCGCACAGCCGTGGCGACCCAGTGCGCCAGCCGCTGAGCCGACAGCGGGGCGCCCCTGTTCTTGGGGCCCAGACACACAAACAACTGATCACCCAACCTGGATGACGACGTCATGGCCAGGTAATGCCTCAGCATTCTGATAGGACACAGAAGGTGCTGCCGCTCCTCCTCGGGGGAGGCATGCGGTGGCGGATAGAAAGCCCTAATCCTGATGACTCGACCTAAAGGCCGACGTGATGACCTTGGGGAGAAAGGCCGGATTAGGCCACAATTCCACCATGCCGTCGCCCTCTCCAAAGGACAGGCAAGACGCATGGACAGAGAGCGCACACAAGTCGCCCGCCCTCTTAGCAGACGCCAACGCCAGCAAGAGGGCCGTCTTAAAAGCGACACACTCGGGACTCGCCTCCGCCGCCGGTTCAAAAGGCGGACCCGACAGCCCCCTAAGGACCACCCTGAGGTCCCAAACCGGGGGCGTTCTCTGGAGCGGGGGCCTCCTCCTGCGCGCCCCCCGCAGAAAGCGTTTAACCAACGGATGAGAGCGGGCTGTGAACCCCCCGAATCCGTCGTGACCCGAGGTAATGGCTGCCGCGAACACCGCCAAGGTGGCGACAGCCCTCCCTTTGTCAAAAAGCTCCTGTAGGAATCCCAGGACCCCCTCCAGCGGGAAACGCCTGGGATCCCAGGAACGAGAACCACACCAGTCGCTGAAGAGCCTCCACCTCGTGGCGTAGGCCCTCACAGTGGACGGCGCCCTCGCCCCCTGAATGGTCTCCACCACTGCAGGGGGAAGACCCAGGTCTACGAGGTTCCGCCTCTCAGCCTCCAAACCCAGAGTCTGCGGCCGATTATCGGGCGTGAAAACAGGGCTCCTCCCCCCTGGACTAGAGCCCCCGGCTCGTCCGGGAGGGCCCAGGGCTCCATCACCGCCATGCCCCTCAGGAAGGGGAACCACCGGGCATGCAGACTGTCTGGAGCCACCAGGATCACCGACCTCCTCTCCTGTTCGATCCTCCGCAGCAGGACCGGCAGGAAACGCACTGGTGGGAAAGCATACAGCAGGCCCTCTGGCCAGGGGTAATGAGCCAGAGCGTCCACGCCTAAGGGCGGCTCGTCCGCGGAACCAGGACGGGCACTGTGCGTTTTCTGCACTGGCGAAAAGGTCGACCACTGGACGGCCGAACCTCCGCCAGATCTCCGCAGCTACCCGTGGGGCCAGGCCCCACTCGTCCTGGAGTGGGCCCCCCCTCGACATCCTGTCGGCGCCCACGTTCCGGACCCCCGGGACGTGGCGTGCCCTGAGGAGGTGAAGCGCCGCCCACAGCAGCGTCACCGTCGCCATGCGATGGAGAGCTGGGGAACCTGGTGCCCCCCTGCGTGTTCAGATAGGAGACCAATGTGGTGTTGTCTGAGCGCACCATCACGTGTTTCCCCTGCAGCTGAGGAGCAAAGTGCAGCAGTACCCTGTGCACTGCCTCCATCTCCAGCAGGTTGATGTGACGGGCTGAGTCCGACCAGCAGCCTCCTACAGAACCCACCTCTGCTCTACAGCACCCAGCTTTGCTGTTTGTAGGTGTACCAGTGGGTTGTTATCCGTTACTACGGAAAACTTTGCACCCCAAAGGTAGTTCTTGAACTTTTCTACCACTGCCCATTTCATAGCGAGGAGCTCCAGTTTGAACGAACTATAATTGGAGTCATTTCGTTCTGCTGGATGTAGGCGTCTACTAGCGTATGCAATTACACGTTCAACCCCATCCTGTTCTTGACCCAGTACTGCCCCAAGCCCTGTGTTGCTTGCGTCAGTATATAGAGTGAATGGCAGTGAATAATCAGCATAAGCTAGAATAGGGGCCTGCACCAGTTCCTGTTTTAGCTGTTGGAAGGCCGCCTTGCATTGTTCATTCCATTCAATAGGAGGGGAATGCCGCCCTCTGGGGCGACTGGTGCCAATCAAAAGTCCATTAAGGGGCTTAGCAATCTTTGAAAAGTCTTTAATAAAGCGCCTATAATACCCCAAGAAACCAAGAAATGAACGAACCTGCCTAACAGTAGTAGGCGGCTGCCAATCTGCTACGGCTGCGACTTTCTCGGTGTCAGGTGAAACCCCTTGGCCACTGACTACATGTCCCAGAAACTTTACCCGTTTCTGGAACAGCTGGCACATCTCGGGACGGAGTTTAAGGCCATAATAACCCAGCGACTGAAAGACTGACTTTAAATGCTGAAGGTGTTCTGTGAAGGTTCTAGAATAGACAATCACATCATCAAGATATACCATTGCTGACTCTGCTAACTGATCACCCAAGCATCACAGTCACAGAGCACCAGCCCCTCACTGATCCTCCTGCAGGTGGTGAGTCCATAGGAGCTGAGATCTTTCAGTGGGGGCTTCAGGCAAAGTGGGGTTAGTTGTCCAAGACCACCTAGAGGACGCATTAGAAAATTAGCTAATTATTTACAATATTTCCAGTATAAGAATTGGTGACTGCAATGTGCATAATTCTAAATGGTGGCCTGGAGACAATGGCCACAAGGTCCATTTCAAACATCTTCTATGTAATAGAAATGTGTAGGTGGGGTGCATGGTGTGTGGTCATTAAATATGTATTCTGATAAATGTTCATCACCGAAAATGAGAAAATGTAAACTATATTCCCTCTGGGCTTGATTTCTTCTTTGATCATTTTTTTTGATTTAGTTCCCTCTTCAGCTACAGCCAGAGCAGGTACATAGCCACTTTCTGCTAACATGCTACTGTGTTTACCTGCGCTGTAGACGCTAGAGGACACAGCCTGTATGTAACAGCGCCGCTCCTCGTTCTGTGATTGGAGGAGAGCGGGCGTCACGCTAAGTTTCTACTCAGCACTTTTTACGGCCTGAACTCATACACAGCTGAATCACTGAGCTCAAGTTTTCATTTCAATTACGGATTTTATTACAACTTGTATGTAGAAATACTCATGTTTATGAACTCATTAGAAAATAAATCAGGTATAGCTTCTTTAACTAGCCTGTTTCTATGACAACCATCTTGTGTTGTGATTTCATAACACTTACAAATATACTGAGATAGACTTATCCCTTTGTGGAAAGCTTCAGTGTGTGAAAGATGGAGCATCTCCACAGTAGAACTCACTGCAGAATGGAGGATCTCACAGCAGAGGAGCTGGAACACAGGATAGAGGACGTGAAACAATGTGAAGATATCGTCAAACTAAAGGAACAACACATAGCATTATTACAGGAGCTTCTCACACTCCAAGAGGAAAAACACAAACTGGCAAATGAAGAGGAACGCAAGGGAAAAGCTTTAGACCAACAACTGTATGAAACAAACAGACAACTCAAGGAAAGCTGTGGAAGTCTGTCTCCTCTTCAGGTTTTAAGAACTTCTGAGACTGAGGAAGAGCTTCAGCCTCAAAGTGAAAAGACTGAACATACAGGGAGCAACATACGTGAAAGACAATCAGCTTCGGCCTCAGGGACAGAGCGAGTGGACGTCCCAACAGATGAAAGTCCAGGATCTGAGGAGCAACATGAGCCAAGTGAGTCCAGCATCAGTGAGCATCAGTCCAGAACGGTCATGTTTAAGGAACTGAAACAGCAGCTCCGGGCCGCGACGGGCGCCAATGAACTGCTGTGCCAACAGTTACTAGAACTGGAAAGAGCCCACGACGAGATCAAGGAGCTGAATGAAGCCTACAAGAGCAAAGTGGGGTTTTATGAGCTGAGGTACAGAGGCGAGAGGCAGAAGCCGAGGGAAGACCCGCCCCAGCTCGAGCCAAGGCGGCGGGGACGTTTCTCCTGGCTATTTGGAGGCCGCAATCAGGGCATTTGA